CGATCCTCCGGAATTTTCTCTTCCTGTTTGGAGTCGTTTTTCTTGTTGTTCAGGGGCTGTTGCAATTTCGGGTGAAGAAAGGTTGAATGCTTGCCGACACATCCATCAACTTTACAAAAACTTTCTTTCTCGCACGAGCGGACGTAGTGACCAGTGACAAGCAGTTAATACAAAGTTTCTTTTCCCGGACGAACTTCTGTCTCTCTTCTAGAGATTGTTTTTTAAACTTATCACAGCGAGACAGCCAATGGTTGGAGCCACACTGTGGACATTTGGGTGATTGTGAGGTTGATTGGGTTGCGAACCTGTAGCCTTTCCATATTGTGATGTCCTCTGGTTCTGCTTGAGCGGCTTGGGTTTCTCTATGGCGATCTTTCCGAAGACTGGATGATTTGCAGCCCTTGCTTTGGCAGTTACAAATTTGCTAATGTCCTTTATTGTGACATCGCGCTCTTCTATTTCAACGATCCGATCTACTGTGTCTCGCCATTTGACTCTCATCGCGTAGGGTAGGCGTTCGACTATCTTTTTCAGATTTTCCGAGTTATTTAGCTTATGCAGGTATCCAATCTTCTCCAGCGTGTTTGTGCAACTGGTTATTTGTATCGAGAATTGCTGAAGGGCGTTCGCGTCTTCGCTCTTGATTGGTGGACCGTCGACCAGCCGTTGAAGGTGGGCGGCGGCGACCCGGTACTCCTTTCCATAACGTTCTTTGAGGAGTTTTCTAGCTTCTGCGTATCCTTCGTCCTCTTTCATCGAAAGACAGCTTTTCATGAGTTCCTGTACAGAACCGCTAGTGTGTTGAACAAGGTAGTAGAGTCGTGCACTTGGGCTTGTGGTTTTCGACTCGATCAGATGCTCGAAGGAGCGGATGAAATCGCAATAGTCGACAGGGTTTCCGCTGAAGACTGGCATACTTGGTTGGGGCAGAGTCAAAGCTAAGACACCCTGTTGCTGTTGGCGGATAAGTTGTTGGAGGGCGTTACTTTGTTGGTCTTGTATTTCAACAATTCGTTGGAACGATACGTCACGTGGAGTAGATGTTGAGTTGCTGGCGAAGTCCTGCCTCGAATTGATCTTGGGAGTATTTTCCATACTTTGATGTTGGTTGTCCCCTGTGGGTTCGGTTGCGAAGGGATTCTTTGACCTTCCGGTACGAGCGTCTAATAGCAGGGAAGGGTCGGATTGCTTAAGCTCTTGGGCCTCGGCTTGCTCGTACACGTCTCTTTCAGCTTCGGCAGCGGCTATTTCTCCGCTCAGCTGTAACTCTTTCTTTCGTTGTTGCAGGGTGAGCTCCTCCATTTCGAGCTGATGGACACGACGTAAGGTTTTAGCCTGCGATTCTAAGGCAGCCTTCTTCGCAGCGGCCTTCGCTTTCGAACTGCTAAAACTTGTTGCCGAACCACATAGCGAGTTTGAACGAGACGATACGCGGGGACCTACTTGACTGATCGAATCTTCTGGCCGAATATGACCGCTGTGGGAGTCCGAAATGTGATGATCCTTAAAAGACTTTTCAATGTTCAGTTGCACTTGTTTAACCAGTGCGTCGATGTCATGCTCGAGCTCTGTAACGGATAGCTCGACGGCGTAGCGATATTCTTCGGAGTCATGCAACTCGTTTTCGTCACAAATTTGAGAATGATATGCCTTGTGCGCCGTGTGAAATTCATTTAAAACATCAGGCAATTCGGTCAAACGATCCTTGATAGCCGACAGATTATCAGAATTGTCCATCAATTCCCTAATTTTATTTAATTTTCTGGTTACGTTTGCCTTTGTCAAACTGCGCGCTTTCTTCAATTGTTGAAGTTGTTCATGTTTGGATGCCATAGGTATTTAACGTTAATCGCTCTTAATTTAATCGTGTCCGTTCTAAGGATGCGTTAATTGATCCGTAGAGATAAATTTAACAACCGCAATGACAGCGACGAAATCCGAAACGGTTTGACGTGGGGTAAATTCCTCAAATTCCTTTAACAATGCATCAAATTCGAACTAATGTAGCTTCACTAGGACAGAAATTCAATGTCAACGAGTTCCCAATAAATCTACAGGGGTAGACGCGGTGCGTAGAATGAAACGAACTCGACGTAGGAATTTTGATAATTTATTAACAGGATGTATACAGGTTTGGGTCGAATAAGTCGATTGAGAATATTGCGTCGGTTCGAACTAAAATATGATAAGCAGACAAACTATAGTAACCTATCACATGAAATTAATACGAGTATACTTGATAATTGACATAAATGAGATATACTTATTAAACTGAGAATTAGCATGCAATACAATATAACAACTAAACCGATTTTAGCAGCGCTTATCGAAACACTTAGCGCGACAATTGCTAACTGAAACAACGTATTATCTATTTACTTATTTTGGTTTGCAGACGCACCAACTTTAACTATCATGCGCGTAGATATAGCTTTGATTGAGGTAGAATAAAGATAGAATTTTTTGTCTCGCAATGCGAATAGAATTTTAACATAAACCTTTGCTTTCTTGCAAGCGTCCACATTCGAGACTCAGCGTAGAATGAGTAACCTAAGCTAGGTAGGCTGTTTTTGTGTAGCATGAACCGGATTTCAAAACATAGAATTGATAGAAACGCGGTGTGTTTGTGACGGACATAGCGTGGCTAGGCAAGGCAACCGCATTGCGCATTTGCTAACCAAATTTACGCATTTGATGTAAATCTTTGCGCTGAAACGGAAAATAACAACTTGTTTTTGCCAGAAAAATAGCAACTTGAACGACCTTCCGTTTCGAAACCAACAGTAAGGTTGTAACAAATTGTATGTATTCATTTTTAAAAACTTCGTAATTTTAAAACTTTGCAACGTCCGAAATGTTAGCTTTTTTATTTTTCGTCATAGTTTTATAATTCATGTTTTTAATTTCCACGCGCGGTTCGCGCATTTTATCCTTTGTGGGGGACTGGTTCGGTACCCAAGCAGCCTTCATGATCCGCCATGTTTGGCTTCACACTTTGAACTGGAGCGAACCTTCCATTTATATAGAGTTCACTGGTTGTACATGTGTCAAGCAAAGCTTTCTCGTGTATATAAGTTACATCATAGGCGGCCCAAAATTGGGCGATATTTTTTCGCGCGAAAATTTTTTCGGCAATTTGTCAATGTAATGTATAATATATAATTACATGTAATTATATATATATATATATATATATATATATATAATATTTATATATATATATATATTATATATATAATATATATATATATATATATATATATATAAAATTATTAATGTAATTATATATTATACATTACATTGACAAATTGCCGAAAAAAATTTTTCGCGCGAAAAAATATCCCCCAATTTTGGGCCGCCTATGGTTACATACAGCACTATAAGTTATATCCAGAAATAATGTAACAAAAACCGCGATAATCCTAGTTCAAACCTCGGTTGAACCGCGGTTAGACCGAGGTTGAACCTCGGTCGAAACTCGAAACTCAGTCTTACTGACTCTGACAGATATTCATATCAAACTCTGTGTAGACAAAAGGTATATCGTGTTTCAAGTTAGCGCGCTTCCAGCTGCGCGGCTATATTATTTGACTCAAAATTCGTGGTTTTTTCCTGCTCGTGCGTTGTGCGTAAAAAATACATCTTAGTTACCAGCGGGATTTAAAAATTTCACCTTCGGCACGTCTGGTAATGCAATTTTCATACAGATTCATCACGTTCTAGACCTGGACTTTGGGGTTTTTTAGTACGCCGCTATTATAGAATTTCACCGCTGAGTGACCTACTCACGGCGGAAGTGAGAGGGAAACTGGAGCTAGCGCTGTTGCAATACATTGTGACGTCTAGTTACTTCCATTTTTGGAATCTACATGATTTGGCGCAAATTTTGATACCAAATTCATACATATTCAAAGCGAATTAAGAGTGGACCAATGGCTCTATATCTTCGGTTTTTCGGGGTTTCTTTCTCGATTTTGGTTTTGTTTACCTCATAAATTCATTCCGTCGAAGGGATATAGCATGAATACGAACAAAGTACGCCTTTTCTACGGACTACAGTTCCTTCTTTTAATTACGAAATAAGCAAGTAAGTATTAAAATTATAAATTTTTGATGATTGTCCATATTAAAAGTTTAAAATATCTTTGTTCGGAGTTGATAAACACTCTGTGTCTATATTTCAGCTTACTCATATATACTTTATCAAAAGAGAGGCACTGAGCAAAAGAACGGAGAAACCTATGGCTATGAATCTTCTTTTAGTTGACGTGTTTGCGGACGAAAACTCATTATTATTAATGTATTCATCGGCAAAACGCCGAGATGGGCCGGCTTCAAAATTCGCTTCATGAATTCGCTTCGATCTCAACGCCATCTTTGTTTATGGCCGCGCGGTATTGCTCTCAAAAGAGACTAGACTCTAGCTAGGGCAAATGTCCCAATTTGTACTACAAGAGTTTGATATGTCTTAAGATGTTTTCGATATGATTATTGTGTTCTCAGCAGGGCCGTAGCTAGACCGCTTAATTGGGGGGGGGTGTAAATTCATATATTCATGTTTAAATACCGTTAGAACAGTAGCGTACAAAAGAAATCAGTCGGGCATAAGACGAATATACACCCCCCAATTAAGCTTCTAGCTACGGCCGTGGTTCTCAGCTCTTCATAAAGCCGGTTTTCCACTAGCGATAATTTTCGCACGAAACGACATTTTACTTTTGTTTCAGAGCTCTCAACTGCAACCATCTGGAACAAATTGCTCAAATACAAAGGAATAAATTCGCTTCGCGCGAAAAATATCGCAAGTGGAAAACCGGCTTAACATTCCCTTCGGAAGCGAACCGTAACCGCGATCGTATTTTACCCTTCGGTCGTCTGCGGTTTCAATCGGTTGGCCGCAACCGAACCGCGACCGTGCCGCAACCGCAGTGTTAGCTTATTTCTGGACAGTATTTTTCCAAAACTTCTGTTTCCAATGTCATTGACTTCTTCATGTTTAGCATCACTATTGGTGAAGCAGGCGGATGCTTTAGCATTCCAATAGCAAGTGGCTGCCTAATTTTTCCGCCCCAAGATTTTGATGAACCAAAAACTATGGAGATTAGCCGAGTAAGATATGAAGAATGTGAGGTGAAACCAAAAGATGGAGAAGTATTCGTAAGCCGAATCCTTGAAATTAAACCTAAAGGTGTGACCTTCAAGAAACCTGTGACAGTTTTTATATCGCATTCAGCGTACGAGGATCAGATTTTTCTTGATTTTTATGAACTGGTTATCGGACGTTTAAACCCAGCAGGATGGCAAGAGTTAAAGACGGAACGTATAAGCTCCATTGAAGGTATTTGTCATTTTGGTGCAGTTTGATATCGACACCTACATATCGTTGTCCGCTTTAACTTTGCTCTATGCATGATGACAAACGCCGATTAAATTTCCGTCAACTTCTATAAGCTCACTTACGTCTTACATTCGCAAACAGATAATTTTATGGGCCGATTTATCGATGTTGCGTGCTTACACTGTACCTCCTAGCATACAAAATTTAACCCTTAAAATTTAACTAACTTCTATTATTAATTAGTAAAACAGTAGAGTCACCAAATTAGTAGAGTCACCAACATCCGCTTTTTAGATGTGCCAAAAGAAATACTTAATCCAGAGGCCTTAGAAGATTATTTGCCATGTGCTCAAGCCACCATTCAAGAGACTTGTGCATTGGTTGCAGTGACACGAATCAGGTCCGAAATGATCTTTGTACCGACAAATCGAAGTTATACATTCAGCAAGGCGTATGGCAATAATGCAGAATTAAGAATGACATTCCCAGCTGGTGTCACGAAAGAGATACTATGTTTAAAAGTTCAGGTAATGTTTCCCAGTTGCCACCTAAATCTCACTTTTTTGTTTTGAAGGTCTAAAGGTGGCTCCTTACAGTTATCACACAATACCTCGGTTATTTATCAATTATTGGACGAGGTCGAGCAAAATATCGTGATTTGTCGGTGGCGAGCAGATCAATTATTTGCCGATGCCGAAGGCAGAGGCAAATAATTGATCTGCGAGCCACCGACAAATCACGATATTTTGCGAGAACCGAGTTCAATAATTGTTTTATCATTCACCACTCAATTTTCAATTTTGAGTTCGTTTTATCGGACAGTTCGGCAAAGCGAGTCGCCATTGTTTATAAAATAAACATTAATGCGCATGCTCAGAGTATTATTTGCAGCTGAGTATTATTTGTACGCAGTTAACTGCAGGTAAATTAACCAATCAAAATTGAGAATACTATAAAGTGAATGATAATTATTATTATATTATTATCATTCACTTTATAGTATTCTCAATTTTGATTGGTTAATTTACCTGCAGTTAACTGCGTGCAAATAATACTCAGCTGCAAATAATACTCTGAGCATGCGCATTATGTCAATTTTATAAACAATGGCGACTCGCTTTGCCGAACTGTCCGATAAAACGAACTCAAAATTGAAAATTGAGTGGTGAATGAATTGAAAATTAAGTGGTGAATGATAAAACAATTATTGAACTCGGTTCTCGCAAAATATCGTGATTTGTCGGTGGCTCGCAGATCAATTATTTGCCTCTGCCTTCGGCATCGGCAAATAATTGATCTGCTCGCCACCGACAAATCACGATATTTTGCTCGACCTCATCCAATAATTGATAATTACTATATTATTGCCAAATTTGGCCTTAATGTCTTTATTCGGATAATTATGCATGCCCGTGTATGTTTCTTCTTTCTTTAGGCCCGTTTACACCCGTTTACAATTTTTGCAGCGATTTTATATACGATTTTCTTCTTTTGATTGATGTAAACGAGTGACTAGTTACGAATGCTCTGATGTATGAGAGCTCGTATTTGAATATCAGTAACTAATTCACTCAAAATCGCATCAAAAATTGCAAGTGTAAAAGGGGCTTTACCGGGCGAAGTAACTGAGAAGAACTGTATTTGTTTCTAAAAATATGCATCTATATTCTTATGCAGTGGCGTAGCCAGCACGATAATTGGGGGGGGGCACATATTCATATATTCGTGATACGCAGGATTAATTTCTTTTCAAATCAATTGTCTTTACAGTCTGTTTACCTGAATATATGAATATTCGCCCCCCCCCCCAATTATCGTTGCTAGCTACGCCACTGTTCTTATGTGATTGAAATTTTATAGAGAGGTCACCACGATTAAGATAGTATAATAAAAGGTTAATAAGACAGGTGTGGGCTTGCCCGATGATAATGTCTGCATGCATGTGTTCAAAGTTTTTAGTACAAAGCCACCGATGTCTTGGAAAGATGTTCATGTAAACCAATACTGTGATCAAAGCATACTTTGAATACAGAAAACTTGCTAGCGTAAACCCGCCTTCACTTGCATGAGTACACATTGAAAGACAGGCAAATAATTCCTAAACAGATTGTCTCAATAAAAACGAAATCACCACTTTAACATTCCGTAATGCATTGAATATTGAGTCCAACGATTAAATTATTAAATAGCAAGAAAGAGACCCGGATTTAGCTTTCTAGCAATATCTTTTAATGCCAAAATTGTTAGAAATAAGTCAAATAACCAAATATAATAGTGTACAAATTGCCTACCGAAAACCACAATTTTTCTTCATTGTTGGGAATTGAATGGACAACATTATTGGCGTGATCAAGTCTTTTGAAAATACTTGTTCATTTCTGGCTGTTATGAACTGAAGAAAGGCGTCATTGAAAAGCTAAATAACAGCATGCTCTTTAATCATGCTGCATAGGGATTCTTTTATTCAGTTCAATATATCTTGCATAAACGTCTGTTAATTTCCATTTCGCTTTTTTTGAGACACCATACGTAATAATTATATGAAGTGTCTCTTATTGTTTAATTTCATTTTACACAGTTGATTCCTGTCGATACCATTGTAAACACAGATGCTTATCGTGACCAGAATCTCATTCGGGGTCCTGTAATTAAAGTTTCTGGTCAGAAAGTTCCATTTCTTAAACCAGTTGAGGTTGAGCTAACATACTCTCACTGTGATGTTGCTAATATTGATGAGGATGTGTTACCTGTGGGAACTAAAACTAAGATGACCGCTATGTATGGCTTTTTGTTGCATAAACACAAGGTGACCGATTCCGAATTACGAAGTGAAATAATAAATGAGACTAACGAGGTTTATATCGAAAGGCAGAGGAAAGATCAGTTGAGGTTCTTCTTTTCGGTGCAACACTTTTCCGAGTAAGTATTTAAAGTCACTTGCTCAGTATGATTCAGCTACAGAAGCATTACAGAAGTATAATGGACTAAAGGATTAGTCATGTTAATCAAACGAATCAGATCTAACCTATAAATTTGCGCAATGTAAGGAGCGATCATGCTACAAATACAATGTCTTTTTGTCTATATTTTCAGTATCCAACCTGTAGTTTCCACGACAAAGCGTGAAAGTTATATTCCGCCCATGTCGATCAGTGGTGCAACGAATATAAACCTTCAACGTTACAATGCAATCGTATTAGCTGTGCATAAAACTGGTTGCAGCCCGGCTACTCTTCATGCTATCCTGGCACCAAGGGAAGCGCTGAAGAATATTAAAGATAAATGGAATGTCACAAACGAATACCGCAAGTTTGAGAAACCGCTGAGATTTAGAGAACCGGTATACTTTTGTGTCCCGTGGTCGAATGACAATCAACTTGATCATCTTCCCTTAGAAAATCATACTTTGAGGTAACGGTATTGCGTTAATTCTGGGGTAAAAACCTCCCAAGCCAAAAACATAGAAATGATTCTTTAGAAAAATGAGTAATTAGCTTTGGAAAAAGAAATCGTCCACCCTATTGTTCAAATTATACGAACTACTAATTCCAGCAAGAAACCTCCGAGATTTTTTAGGATTTCATTTCTTTTCATATAGATTTGATCCAGATCTTGAATTAGAATCAGAACTGCACAATAACACTGAGGAAGGTATTAATCTCAAAGGGAAAGACATGCGTTTCTTACAGAAAGAGTGCCATGATGGAAAGAATCACAGCACTCAAGGAGATTGTCGTGCGGTGGCACCAATCTACACTTCTTCAATTAGTTCAGTTCAGGTACGTTTGTATGCTTTGTCCCTATACCTAACGTGTGGGGTTTAAATAGAGAATAATACAGGGATGCGCGGAAATATGGAATTTATTTCGAGTGTTCAGAATGATATTTCTCAACACCAGAAATAAATTCCATATTTCCAATATTTCCAAGGGCTTCTGCTGAATGAATTCTCATAACTTTGAATTCCCATAATGTTTTCAGAAAACACTACGCCATAAGTATTTGTTTATCCATAAAATCATGAAACAAAATAGATTTTTATCTATTTCCTCCACATTTACATAGTTTAGATATAAGATGCTATACAAATTCTTGAGTTTTTTAGTTGTAACCTTTTTTAATTAATTACACGACTGTTTGTTTCCTTTGCGCGTTAACGAAACGAAAATAGCTTTACTACCATAAATGATTGTATAGCTTTCTTTGACCAGGTCTGGCCAGATGTAGAAAAACTTCTTAACACCCCCTGATTTCGATTTGTCTCCGTTTGATGTAAATTTCAAAAGCCAACGAAATCTTGCAGTCGTCATTTGAACAGCAAAACGGTATCAGGTAACCTGTACCACGCATAGTCACGGCAAAAAATTCAACAAAATAATGAAAAACTTTGCCAAGTTTTCATTATTTTCAGTGCTGTTTTCGAGAAAAAAGCTGAGCGGTAGTTTAGTAAAATTATCGGAGCTAACTTTTATCGTGTTTATTTTATATTTTATTGTGTATTTTAAAAGATTTTCAACAATTTCTTCGGGGCGACGTGCATAATTTAGGTATTTAGTTGCCTACCTTAGGTATATATATATATATATATATATATATATATATATATATATATATATATATATATATATATATATATATATATATATATATATATATATATATATATATATGTACATGATGCAAACACGACGCGTCACAATAACCGCGCGTAATCAATACAGTCGGAGGCTAAATAATACTCATTACACAAGCAGGAAATACACAAACGAGAAACTATTTTGAAAGTATTTTATTGCAGAAAAATTTATTTAAACATCACTAAACAATTTTGGGCGACCTAGGTATCAACAAGCTACGTGATTAGTTGAAAAGCAATAATTTTCACACGTAAAATTATCATAAAAATTTCACATGTGAAATTATTAGTTTTATCAGTGCTCGAAATCTCTATAAGGCGCTACACTTTATATAATAAATTTCCAAAAATTATCCTAAGAAATTGCATTGGTATAGCATAATGCAACTGTTTGTTGATAACTGCATACAGACGGCTTAAGACCTCTCTTATTATTATTTGACACTTTTTAATTATCAATTTGTTCTGATGTTGTCAGGGTGTCGATAGAAATGTTAATGCGACATCACCAACATTTACACAGAGACAAGGCAAGTATTTATGCAAGGTATAATATAGACTTAAACTTACTGCAGTGGGTAGAATCCTAGCCTTCGGAAAAATGGATTTTTTTCGCATTCTAGCAATTTTGGTGTAAAGCCAATTTACACTTTACTCATGCGAATAACCGCTGAAAAGTACGAAATACATAAAAATTTGACTATTTAGACCATGTGCACACGGTAACGTTTTCGGGCGTTTTCATCTTCGTTTTCATGCCAAAACAGTTTCAAACACCATCAATTAGCAATAGAAGTTGAAGCTAATTATTACATATCGAGCATATTTTCCCTTAGATCGTGTGGACAACGCCTCAAAGCAATGAAATAGATAAAAATGATTTTGAAAACGGTCGAAAACAACGCTTGTGTGCACATTGCCTTATTTACCATGTGCACATGTAGAAGAGATCTATTTTGTCCGCGCTAGGATAGGGAAAATTATTTGTTGGCTTTCACCCAAATACGAATAAACTAGAAATACATTCCATGCAAAGTCCCCTCGCCTGAAGCAATCAAACATATATTTCCATCACTGAAATTCTATAAATGCTCGTTTCTGCTGAATGATCGAAGTCGTAAAATAAAATCGTATATCTTGGTACAATTATAAAGTCGACTCTCGAGCTATCAAATTCGACTATAATCATAATTGACCATAACAAAAAAGATGGCAGATGTACATTTTATCAGAATGCATTGCGGTCGGAAATCGTTTAAAAAAGAGAACTGACGTCTTTGAAAGGATAGGCATAAAACAGGGGAAGTTATTTTCTTTGCTGTGTTATAATTTCACGTCATTAGGAGTTTTTCTTGCCATGTTTATTCAGTCGATCATTCTTAATGTCCGCAATGCATTCTGGTAAAATGTACATGCCGCCATCTTTTTCGTTACGGTCAATTTGACGAATAGTTTTAAATACTACAATTTTTAGCGAAATTTCAATTACTTTTTAAACAGATTCACCTTTAAAAATAAATACTTTCCAAATCAAGATCATTTCAACGAAATTGACGAATAAATTCAAAGAGGTGTCATACATTTGTTGATAAATCCACATATTAAACTTACAAAATGCTTTAAAATACAAAATCTACCCATTTATCTGTTCAAAAATACTTTAAAAATGCTTCAAAATCGTAATTTTTTTACCATCCATTGGAATGAAAGTTTTTCTAACCGAAGGCATCTTTTACATTATGTTTTAATTAATTTTACGAGTCAATTCTTCGTATATTTTTAAGACCATCCAAATGAAAAATATTATTTTAAAAAAGTTTTATCATTCAAAATATCAGTTATGCTGGCGTGAACCCAAATTTTAATTTAGCCAATCACACGTTTGTAAACGTTTGCTAGTTACCAGATTTAACTCGTCTTAAACTCACTCATACGCATAACTTACAAAAACGCCCAACGTCTATGACATAATGGCGGACAACTTTCATCTCCGGGCGGAATTAGTACCCTCGCCCGGTGCTTCGCGTCGGCTCGGGGATCAATATATTTGAACTAATGTATTTTTTACTGTAATAATTTATTTTAGATGATGTAGAAAATAAAATTTTATCTACCGTAAACGACACGAAAATAAAATCTCAGAAAGAGGTAAGGAAATAATTAACTTGTAACGATGTTTAACTAATAAACCAATATACTAATAAACTAATAATTAACTAATATACGATGAGTACGATGTCAACTCAAAGAAATATCTTAAATTTTAAAACATTTTAAAATAATCATATCACGTTCTATTTGAATTTCAAAAACTAGTCTTTGTAGCTTTCGTCTGAACAGAATTTGAATACCAACGATAATCCAAACGAAACTACTAAGGCCCGTTTAATTAATTACACGACTGTTTGTTTCCTCTGCGCGTCAACGAAGCGGAAATACGTAGCTTCACTATACCATTAATGACTTTGTAGCTTTCTTTGACCAGGTCTAGCCAGATGTAGAAAAACTTCTTAACACCCCCCTGATTTGGATTTTTCTACGTTTGATGTAAATTTCAAAAGCCAATGAAATCTTGCAGTCGTCATTTAAACAGAAAAAAAACCGGTATCAGGTAACCTGTACCACGCATAGTCAAAGCGAAAAATTCAACAAAATAATGAAAAACTTTGCCAATTTTTCATTATTTTCAGTGCTCTTTTCGAGAAAAAAGCTGAGCGGTAGTTTAGTAAAATTATCGGAGCTAACTTTTATCGTGTTTATTTCATATTTTATTGTGTATTTTAAAGATTTTCAACAATTTCTTCGGGGCGACGTGCATAATTTAGGTATTTAGTTGCCTACCTTAAGGTATATATATATATATATATATATATATATATATATATATATATATATATATATATATATATATAATATAATATATATATATATATATATATATATATATATATATATATGTACATGATGCAAACACGACGCGTCACAATAACCGCGCGTAATCAACACAGTCGGAGGCTAAGTAATACTCATTACACAAGCAGAAAATACACAAACGAGAAACTATTTTGAAAGTATTTTATTGCAGAAAAATTTATTTAAACATCACTACACAATTTTGGGCGACCTAGGTATCAACAAGCTACGTGATTGGTTGAAAAGCAATAATTTTCACACGTAAAATTATCATAAATAATCTCACATGTGAAATTATTAGTTTTATCAGTGCTCGAAATCTCTATAAGGCGCTACACTTTATATTTCATAAATTTCAAAAAATTATCCTAAGAAATTGCATTGGTATAGCATAATTCAACTGTTTGTTGATAACTGCATACAGACGGCTTAAGACCTCTCTTATTATTATTTGACATTTTTTAATTATCAATATATTCTGATGTTGTCAGGGTGTCGATAGAAATGTTAATGCGACATCACCAACATTTACACAGAGACAAGGCAAGTATTTATGCAAGGTATAATATAGACTTAAACTTACTGCAGTGGGTAGAATCCTAGCCTTCGGAAAAATGGATTTTTTCGCATTCTAGCAATTTTGGTGTAAAGCCAATTAATTTTACACTTTACTCATGCGAATAACCGCTGAAAAGTACGAAATACATAAAAATTAGCAATAGAAGTTGAAGCTAATTATTACATATCGAGCATATTTTTCCTTGGATCGTGTGGACAACGCCTCAAAGCAATAAAATAGATAAAAATGATTTTGAAAACGGTCGAAAACAACGCTCGTGAGTGCACATAGCCTTATTTACCATGTGCACATGTAGAATAGATTTATTTTGTCCGCGCTAGGATAGGGAAAATTATTTGTTGGCTTTCACCCAAAAACGAATAAACTAGAAATACATTCCATGCAAAGTCCCCTCACCTGAAGCAATCAAACATATATTTCAATCACTGAAATTCTATAAATGCTCGTTTCTGCTAGCCTCCTCCGCAGGCATCTCTTATGTATTTATATTAGGCATTTATATTTGGCTTGGGTTAGCTGTGTCGGGGAGTGAGAAAAAAATTTTTCCTCGCCTTCCATGACACAGCTAACCCATGCCTAATATATCTAAAATAAATACATAAGAGATGCCTGCGGAGGAGGCTACGTTTCTGCTGAATGAAAAGTTATGTGACGTCAGCGATGGCGGTTGGACGCAGAATTTCAGCGTCCGTTAATTTGTTACTTTTTGTTTACATTTTTGTAACAATAAGTGGATTAACGTATTGGGAATCCAACAACACATCAAGATTAACATATTCTAAGTTTTTGTTGGTGAGCAAATGCTTTGTTTCCGAGGTAAAACAATTCAATTGTAAATTGCGAAGAAAGAAACGAAAACCGTTAACTTTACCACTACGTATGAAACTTTGCTTTGTTTATCGAATTGTGGTTTATGGGTTATTATCGGGTGCGCTGCTAGCGTTATCTGGTGATATAGAAAGCAACCCTGGACCAAACAAAGGTAATCCAGTACCTTTCTCGACAAAAACAAACCAACGGTTATCTTCGTTATGTCGTGATCTACGAGTGGATTAAAGATTATTCTTTGGAACTTAAACAGCATCGCTCCACATGAAGGAAATAACAAACTAGATCAATTAAAACTTTACTTGCTCAATCATGAATACCATATCTTGGGAATAACTGAGTCATGGTTAAGTGTCAGTTTTAAAGATTCAGAGGTGAATCTACCTGGGTACGCAATCGAGCGATTGGATCGAGAGCAAGTCGAACTTCCTTTCAGTAAGCAAGGCGGTGGTGGTATAGCTGTTTATGTCCTCAAAAACATCCCGTTTTGCAGAAGACGTGATTTAGAAACGAAGGATATGGAGTCCCTCTGGATTCAACTTTGTCCCCAACAACGACAACCGCATTTAGTGTGTTTTGCGTGCAGATCTCCACAATATGACACTGCTGCATGGTTGGATAAATTTGAAAGTCAAGTTACAAATGCCTACCTCGAAGGATGCCAAGTAACAATATTGGGTGATTTTAATTTTGACTTGCTACAGGACAGTGCATCTAGTAAAGCCTGGTTAGAATTGAATGAAAACTTTCAACTACATCAAATGGTTAATGAGCCTACTAGAGTAACTGATTCCTCTACTACAATGATTGACCACATTTTCACATCACATCCAGCTAAAACAAGGACAGTTGTAGTACCTAAAGTAGGCCTGAGTGATCACTATCCTACCTGCATTGTGTTCAAAGAAAAATTTGGTATCAAGCACTCTCATACCACCATGAGCTACAGATCTTTTAAAAATTTTGATCACCAGAAGTACCTGTATGACCTACAAAAGTGTCCGTGGGGCCAATTAGACCAGATTACTGACGTAGATGAATGTTTAGAATTGTGGTACAAGATCTTCCTTGAAGTCGTTGACAGACATCTGCCATTGAAGTCAAAAAGAGTAAAATACATTAAACAACCTGATTGGATGAATGAAGAGATCACAGAATGCATGCGTGAAAGGGACAACTGGAAAAGAATTGGGAACATTGATAAGTATAAACTATTGAGGAATAGATGTGTAGCCCTTATACGGAAAGAAAAAATGGTATATTATCAGACATGCATCCAAACTAGTAAGGGAAACTCTTCAAAGCTTTGGAAGTACATCAAAGAATTGGCCCCTGGCAAAGTCAAAACCAGCCCAACTACCTTGAACGACAATGGCAGAAAACTAACCAATACGGATGAAATATGCGAGTCTTTTAACAACTATTTTTCCACCATAGTCAATCAATATCTTCCTTCACCAAATCATAAACCTGACCTTCATAAACTCAAAACGTTTGTTGACAACAAGATACCTGCTGAAACAAAGCTTAAAATACCATTATTATCCTGTGATGATGTGCAAAAGTTGTTGCATGACTTAGATCCACACAAGGCCACTGGTTTGGATGGCATTTATACGAAGATATTAAAGATATCCAGTTCTGTCATCTCGAAACCACTTGCTGGAGTTTTCAACATGAGCATTAAGAGTGGACATTTTCCATCCAAGTGGAAAATAGCTCGGGTTACGCCAGTCCACATAACTGGAAGTCGAGCAGAGAAGGATAATTATAGACCAATCTCTATCTTGTCAACCTTAAGTAAAGTATTAGAACGCCATTTTTACCAATGCATTCTTGGTTATCTCACCTCCAATGATCTCCTCTATTATGCGCAGTCTGGTTTCCGACCTCACCACTCTTGTGAAACCGCTTTGAATAAACTGTTTGATTCTTGGCTATCTAAGATGGAAAATGGTCAATTCAATGGATTGTTGTTTATTGACTTTCGCAAGGCATTTGATATGATCAACATAGATATTCTTACCTCCAAAATGAAATGCTACCACTTTGATGAATCTTTATTGAGCTGGATGACATCATACTTGACAGATAGAAGACAGGTTGTCCAATTAAAAAACAGTTTATCATCCATAGCATCTATCTCCCATGGTGTACCGCAAGGTAGTATCCTTGGTCCACTTCTGTTCATTTTGTTTGTCAATGACCTCCCTCTGCACAGCAGCCAGGATCTCGACCTATATGCCGATGACTCTACCCTCAATTCAGCTGGTTCATCTGTTACCGAGCTAAATGTTAAGTTAACATCTGCCATGGAGAACATCCAACAATGGTGTTTCACGAATGCCATGGTTGTGAACAATAAAAAAACAAAATCAATGATGATTTGTACACGCCAGAGAGCTGCCAAAAACAACACCGACCTTCACATATGCTACAATGGTTTTCAACTGGAAAATGTCACAAGCCAAAAACTCCTTGGACTGGTCATTGATAGCCACTTATCCTGGAAAGCTCATATAGACCAACTGGCCTCACAATTGAGCAGAATCATTGCTCTATTTCGCAGGATAAAGGTCTATCTACCTCATGCATCACTCAAGACTTCTTTTCTACAAAAGCTACTTCCAATCGAGAATCGACTACTGCTGTACCATTTGGGGAAACTCACCACATATCTCTAGAATATATAAACTGCAAAAACTTATCCTTAGATTAATTTATAACCAGTCTAAAATATCTCCATCGAAACCTCTTTTTATCCAGTCTAAAATATTACCAATCAAGTATAGAGTGTTGTTTAAAACAGCAGTATTTGTTCATAAAGCTTTGAATAAACTTAGTCCAGAATATCTCAGTAACATGTTTACACCATTGGCAGCTGTATCACAACGAACTACGAGAAATTCAACCAACATGAACCTCTGGATTCCAAATTTCAAGCTAGCATGTACCAGAAGTGGGCTGCGGTACAATGGGTCAGCTGTCTACAACATGTTGCCAAGGAAAGTCAAGATGGCCAGCACAATCAGATGTTTCAAGCATGAAACATTTAACTTTTTCTTCGAAATGTTTGTCAATAGTAATTCGTAATTTTCCTGTATGTATTTTTGTGGTGTAAAAGCATGTTGTATACATAATATGTCATATGTTTGTAATCGTCCTCTATATAGAAGGCCCAGTGGAAGATTAGCATAGGCTAAACTGGTGTGCATGTACTATATGTATGTACTATATACCTTCTTTAAATAAAGTTTATTATTATTATTATTATTAATGATCGAAGTCGTAAAATAAAATCGTATATCTCGGTACAATTATAAAGTCGACTCTCGAGCTATCAAATTCGACTATAATCATAATTGACCATAACAAAAAAGATGGCAGATGTACATTTTATCAGAATGCATTGCGGTCGGAAATCGTTTAAAAAAGAGAACTGACGTCTTTGAAAGGATAGGCATAAAACAGGGGAAGTTATTTTCTTTGCTGTGTTAAAATTTCACGTCATTAGGAGTTTTTCTTGCCATGTTTATTCAGTCGATCATTCTTAATGTCCGCAATGCATTCTGGTAAAATGTACATGCCGCCATCTTTTTCGTTACGGTCAATTGTGCTACGAATAGTTTTAAATACTACAATTTTTAGCGAAATTTCAATTACTTTTTAAACAGATTCACCTTTAAAAATAAATACTTTCCAAATCAAGATCATTTCAACGAAATTGACGAATAAATTCAAAGAGGTGTCATACATTTGTTGATAAATCCACATATTAAACTTACAAAATGCTTTAAAATACAAAATCTACCCATTTATCTGTTCAAAAATACTTTAAAAATGCTTCAAAATCGTAATTTTTTTACCATCCATTGGAATGAAAGTTTTTCTAACCGAAGGCATCTTTTACATTATGTTTTAATTAATTTTACGAGTCAATTCTTCGTATATTTTTAAGACCATCCAAATGAAAAATATTATTTTAAAAATGTTTTATCATTCAAAATATCAGTTATGCTGGCGTGAACCCAAATTTTAATTTAGCCAATCACACGTTTGTAAACGTTTGCTAGTTACCAGATTTAACTCGTCTTAAACTCACTCATACGCATAACTTACAAAAACGCCCAACGTCCATGACATAATGGCGGACAACTTTCATCTCCGGGCGGAATTAGTACCCTCGCCCGGTGCTTCGCGTCGGTTCGGGGATCAATATATTTGAACTAATGTATTTTTTACTGTAATAATTTATTTTAGATGATGCAGAAAATAAAACTTTATCTACCGTAAACGACGCTGAAATAAAATCTCAGAAAGAGGTAAGGAAATAATTAGCTTGTAACTAAATATACGATGAGTACGATGTCAACTTAAAGAAATATCTTAAATTTTAAAACATTTTAAAATAATCAGATCACGTTATATTTTAATTTCAAAAACTAGTCTTTGTAGCTTTCGTTAGAACAGAATTTGAATACCAACGATTATCCAAACCAAACGAAGGCCCGTTTCAGATGTCAAATTTTTCATGCGCCGAATTGAATGCAAATGAACTTAAACAAAGGCTTTCGGCGCTCATTAACATTAGGTTTGACGCATGAAAAGTTCGACGTCATAAACGGGCCTAAGTAGATGGATGCGTGGATGCTATAAATAAAAGACACTGAATTTGGCATGCGGAATAATCATCGAATTTAGCGTTTGCCGTTTTGGAATAGCGATACTTAACTACAGCATCACATGCAGCATGCGAACTAACAAATTAGCAAAGAATTTCGCGTAGATTACTTAAAATAAACAAACAGCGCAAAATGTAAACATACCGCATAGAATAACAATTATGTCTATTAATTTTACTTACTTTGGTTTGCGCACGCACCAAACTTGGATAGAAAAATAGCGTAGAATATGTAGATTTCTAGAGTTCCAACGTATAAAATGAATAGATATTGATACGCCAATTATTTTAATAAAGGCACAAACGACAGTTGCTTACACGCAAGCAGGTCCAGGTTAAACACTGATTTAAGTTTGCTTCAGTTGGCTATATTTATGCGGAGCGATACCGGAACGTGCAATGGATCCAGAATTGATGTTTGCGCAACAGACATCGCTAGGTTTGGCCATGGGAAACCGCATTGCGCATTTGCTGACTAAACTTACGCATTTTGGTTTAGCGGTTGCGGCTGCGGAAAATAACAACTTAAAGTTGTTTTTGCCAATACAATTTCATAGAAAACATCCGTTGGTTTGTCCCTTCCGTTTCGAAACCAACAGTCTTTTTATAAAACATCTAGATATAAGCTTAGTTCACCTTTTTGAGTGCATAGTTGGACAATACTTTTGATAAAATAAAATCTCATATAATTATATACCAGTCTTATTCTGTGCAGTCCCTTATGATGCAAAATTTAATAACCCAAAAGCTCTAAACTATAATTCGCATCTTTTCTACATCCAGGACATGAAAGATAATCTACATCGTTGCGAACTTTTCGAGGAGGAAATTGAAAAAAAGTTCCTAGAAAAGTTAGGGATAAACAGGGGTAATATACAAAATCCCATCGACGGAGTTACGGCAAAGACACTAGCCGATGCAGGAGCTGTGTCGTCAATTGCCCTTGGGATCGCTGGTGGAGTAACAATAATTTTAGGTATTTCAACATTTGGTGTCACTTCCTTTGCTTTGGCGGCCATGACTGGTGTAACCTTCACTGTGTCAAAAGTTAATAAGAGGTTGAAAAAATCAAATGCCAAGAAATTGAATGAAAAAGTGAAATTATATCTCCATTCTCATTTAAAATGCATCATTTTGGATGTCGCCAAGGAATTGTCTCGTATGTTTGAGTACCAAGTACAAAACGTATAAAACGTCGACCGAATATCAACCAAAAATGCACGGTTGTAAATTTCTGCTGTGAATATTCTGATAACTACAAGAATTCCACAGTTGGTCAATACTTTGGTGAATCTGCCATTGACTCTGAATATACTGAGTGTCGACATGAACTTTCCAATTATCATCCAATACATATTTTAGTCCAATGTCCTAGAATTTTGAATTCGTTTGTTAATAATAATTCGAAAGAGCCTTCTTTGGCGGCCTTTTTAAAAGGAATGTTGGGTCTTCCCGAGCATCACATTGTTCGCTCAGTTTATCGGCAACATTCTCCAGGGAGTGTTCCTAATCTACAAGGGTCAGACCTTACTGGATCAGATTTCAGCCATTCCGATTTTTCAAATTCCTCACTCGAGGATTGCCATATTGCGAAGTGTGTCATGTTGTTTACAAGATTCGTTGGTGCGAAATTGTCTGGTTCAAAATTCGTTGACACATTGATTAGTCACAGTGATCTCTCTAGCGTCCAAGCTGATCGTTGCGAGTGGACGAAGGTGTCGCTACTTTATTCGCGTGTAGATAAGGCAAATCTGGAAAGCGTGGTGCCTAGTATAAGTGGTAATTGTCTAAGTGGGACGAACATCAGCGACGCCATCTATAGGAGAAGTAAAGAAATAAACGGCAACGAAATTAGGTGAGTATATCATTAATAGGAGAAGAAGCTTGATGAGCAAAGAGGCTTCAAATCTAAATAGCTACTTTAATAATAGCAATGCTATATATCGGTTATTCATTTCTAAACAATAATACAGTGCATTTGGTAGCGGTTACGGAGTGGAATGTGGTTTAGGTATTTCGCTTTAGACCACCTACTTTTTCGCAGGTAGCGAGTTAAATCAATCTATAGTCTATCGGCCATGAATAATGCTGTTACCAATTTAAATTTCTGTTATATTACAGCCGCAGTTTAGTAGAACCCACTTAAAGAAGATGTGCCTCATGAACTTAATAAGAAGAAGAACTTAAAGTGAGGAAACAAAAAACTGTGATTGTGCACTGTTTTGATGTTTAAATCATTTGGTGCACATGTCGCCCAAAGTGAAAGTTGGATTTTCTTCCTGGATTTTCTATTGTTACGAGCCGGTCCTTTTAATTACTAATGGCTGCGCTTTTGGTGGCTCAATTCGCTCGCAACAAATATTGTGAAACCGATTACTTTTCAATTATTTATTCTTTAATACTATACTTATAGTGAAACAATCAACGTCTTTATAATCTTTATATAATACAATATATAATACTACTAATATGACTTAGATAGTTCAACTTATCTGAGCACAACTCTCGATATCTTGACAATTCTGTATTCTTTCTATCGTAATGGTTCTCTCTTTTCTTTTTGTTTGTGGTTCTTTTCAGGTTACTTCTTTAATTTCGTTTTTAAACCAATGATGCTATGCAGGTCAAGAGCTCAAGCGTTGTGCTCTGACTTTTATATGGTTTGCTAGGAGAAGGGACTATAGAACTATGACATATTTACCCTACGCAATACAGCGTGACTAAGCAAGTAAGAGCGTGATGAAGCGAGTAAACAACAACAATGGTTAGCCCCAAACAAAGCTATGTCGGTTACGTTGTTGGTTTGCGGGACAAGGTTCTCTGCAACTATTTCCTTACTCGTGCATGTATGGTTAACTAAGTTCACTAAGGTTCATTGAATATTGTAATAGATATAATTTACATTTTGTATGATGTACATGACGTGGCAATGCCGCATCCAAAGCATATATTATCACATAGACATCTTATATCGTTAGTCGTAGTTGTAAAACGAGGGTGCAAGGATTCATGTACAAGGATGTAAAAAGTTTTTACGGATTAGCAAGTACTTTAGTTTAGTAAGTTAGTAGTTTGTAATAAAGTTTTTAGAAACGAGCGTTTATATACTCGGTAATGCAGTAATAACGAAAAGAAGCAAGTAACAACGCTAATGGATCCATTACAAATATATGATACTATAATTACACGATATTACGGATCATGTAACACCTTTTCTTGAACTCGAAAGTTTTCTTTCATGATTTTAAAATTAATTTTATGCATGCTTTCGATGTTTGATAAGTGATAAATTAGAGGAATAATTTCACCATTATTTCGCAAGGTTTAAGTGTCCTTCGGGATGCTCTTCTTGATACCTCCAAAACTTCTGAACTTCTGTTTTATATCGTATTCTCACCATGAAAATGCTGCTTGTTGAGTTGTGAACTGTGACATAGCCATGCTGCTGAAGGTAACTTATTTGAAGCGATTATCACAAAAAAACCTTCGAAGGAATAACGCAATAAACTTTAGAACCCTTGAGAATTGATTTCGATTTTTTTCCGTGCTGTATGCATACAACCATACGTGCATACGTTTTTTGCACAAGGCAGTTTGTAGGGGCTATTAGAAATCTTTTTCTGCAAATGAAAAATCTTAAACAATTTTAATGTTATTTTAGCCTGAGGATATTAAAGTATGGTGGTTTGCTGAAAGTTTTTAAGTGTTAAGTACTTTAAGGTGTGTACAATATTGTATCTACTGCTTTCCTTGAAACATGCACCTACATCAAAATAAAAAAATCACCACGTTAACGTTTGCTGGGGAGATGCCTTGGGAACGAGGTTACCATCTTGGATCTTATTGTAAAAAGCCGATTTGTGTAATTTATGTCGCATCCTATTTTGAGCTATTGCTTTTTAAAAGGGCCTATATTTTCGACCACCTCTTGTGTATTTGATTCCAAAATAATTATACGTTTTCAATATATTTAATTATACGTTAATCAATAATATAATAGCTAATTTTCTAATAGATTACATGTTAATTAGTGGAATTATATTAGTCCATCAAGTCAGTATTTTGTTCAAAATAATCACAATAAAATTTCAACGAATTAATTGTTTTGAGAGCAAGGGAATCGATAACTGAAAATGCTAGATAGATTAGTCAATTTTAGACAAAATCAAGAAAAGCATCTTGATTTTCAGTTAGTCCATGGCGAGCGGATTAATTGCTTGCCGATGCATGAGAGCAGGAACCCAAGAATAAACGATACTGGAGAGTGGAATCTATAAACTCGATACGATGATGTTTGCGGTCATTAGTGAAGTAATATTTGAACAACGAGAGCGAGTGTTTCACCGGGATATCCAAACACGAGGAAACAATGCGTGAATGTCTCGGTGGGACACGAGCTCGAGTTGTTTAAATATCTTCTCAAATGAATTCAAATGTGACGCTTGGTTGAGTAATGTTCAAAAAGCATATAAGATGGTATTATAAGCATATAAGATGGCATACAAGCGAGAAGACTACATCAAAAAGCATCTTAAAGCATATAAGATGGCATACAAGCGAGAAGACTACATCAGTCGCAACTAATGAGAGAATATTGCAGAATTTTCCAACGGATGTCGGCGGGCGAGTTGATTTAGAGCATTCTGTGTTCAACGAGTGTATTAAATATAACGTTTAATTTTTTGTGAATAAGATGTAATTGTCTTTTGAAAAATAAAGGATTTGTGTGTTGCGTTTTGTGTACAGGGGTGTGTTTGTTTAATTTGTTTAGGAAAGATTACAAAGTTTGCATATATATTTAAGAAATGTGATGAAAATCACTAGTGGTTTTCATCACATTTCTTAATTATATATGCGGATAAATGCATTGTACAGTTATTAGCGAGGTGTTTCATCGAGATATCCAGATGCAATCTCGTGATTAAATGCGTGTTTGTAATTGGTTTATTTGCTCATAAATTATTCATGAATTTGAGAATTATAGTGTATAACATAGTGCTTTGATTTCAGGACAGGATGCCCCGAAAAAAGTCTCCTTCGAAATCAATAACTTGTTAGTTGTTACTATGTTGAACATATGGGTGCAAGGCAAAAAAAATGGCAAAAATAAATGCTGAAAAGTCTGAAAAGCAAATTCAGTTTATACTGTAAATGTAATCTAGAAAATATCTGGATATGGTTTTAGGTTTTCATTTTTGTTATTGTTATGAAATGCGTGCCACACTACCAGTACGAATACTTGGCATTTCTTGTTTGCTTTTGAATCCAAATTAATGCCGTATAATAAATTACCTTCGCTTGCCTCTTCTTCACCGAGCTTTCTGACCGCGTTTTAATGAGACCGCGTCCTGGAGTACGTGAAAAACTTGGATCTTATTTTCTTCTATGGTCGGGTCTGTAGGAAATTACCTCGGCCCAAGATTTTTTGCCCTCGGTGAGAGTTTGTGGGTACGTGTTATAAGCCACAGTTAGAGAATAGCTACCTTCACTCGGCCAATCAGCTTCCGGTATTTAATAACTCCATATATAGTCATTAATGAATGCAATTTATCGTAAAGGTAGGAATTCTCTAAGACGGTCATCTAATTCTCGGGACTCTATATCCCATAGAGCACATGTGATCATGCTCTAGCCATTCCACCAAAGGGCGGGGGTGGAGCTAAAGTCCCCGAATATTTTAGATAAGGGGGCTAAGACCCCTGAGTATTTTAGAAAGAGCGCTGGCATTAATATATTTTAAAGATCCCTAATGGCGACAGAATTCGTGCCCGCGATAATTCTCTTTTGCATTTTCCGCCGCCACTGCATTTCACTATTGCATTTCACTGACCCTTACTTACATAATACATATTGCTTACTGCAGCAGGTGCAGCAGGTAATATCCTCTGGGAATCACGTGTCACGTGACAGAGAAGACATCTTAAATATGGCCGATCAGTGGAGGCTAACAACACCAGATTTATTGAGTCAAGTAAGGTTTTTATAGACATGATCGCTCGTTCTTTTCCCCTTTTCTAAGGAGGTTTACTAATTTTATTCCTTTACCACAATTCCACTTGTGTAGCTCGCGACTCTTGCGTTTTTAAACGGCGGAGAAGAAGGCAAAAACCTGTATCAAAGCTATCTTGTCGGGCGCACAGGTTATGAATTCTACCAAAGACTAAAAGATAATACGCCTCGCAGCGAGGCTGATATCCTTCGGGTGAGTTAAATAAGCACTGAATTTCTTAGTACTAAAAGTTATCGCGCTAGACTGATTAAGATAAATTTTAAAAAGACGTATTGACACAATATATAAACATCAGTTATCGACATTAGGTCATTAGCGACATCAGCATATATTCGGGTTATTATAGTATAGAATCGATAAAGCAATAGCAATTATTGAATATTATTATATTTGAGACCTACTACATTTCTTATTGATTTGGTGGCTGGATTCTTTATTCAACACTTAACTTCCATTCTTTATTTAAAATATTGTCTCACTGTGTTCTGAACATATCTTTAGGAAGAAACAATCAAAAATGTTGCGGAATATGTAAAGAAGAATCCCAAAGCATCAGAAACACAGCTACGAAACGAATTGACAAAGCAAATAAAAACATTTGCTGAAAAAGTAGCTGCGTTGGAAAAAAAATGAAAATTCTGATGTTACAATGGAACATTGATTTCAATATAAATTATTGCTGTAAATATAAAGTTCTAATTGAGAAGCTTAGTGTGGGGTTCCAAAGAAATGAATCTCCATTTTAAGAAACATGTTACTTTCCAATCTTTATAGTTATTAAGTGGGAAACAATGTGCTAGAACTGTGTTCAGTAAATCTTGTAATCGAATGTTTATAACAATTTTAAAACTTAGCATTCATGTATGCTTCATTCAAAGTGATATATGTGCAGTATTTTTGCACACATTGCTGCTATTATTTTACTAATCACTCCAGTAAGTATGTGGCTGTTTTTTCAATGTATCTAAAAAATGTGTAATAATTGCTAATATACATGTAGTCAGATTGTTTTGTAGTTAATAAGGTGCATTTATAAATCTGCTTGTAAATCATCATTGCAAAATTGACTGTGAAATTCCTCACATGAAAAGTGTATTAAAATTCATCTGTAGATATTTTCTTGTTGATTTATTTACATTATTTACATTAGTTTGTCTTTTTGCCTATCCGCATTAATTTATCTCCATAGTTTAAATTCTTTGCAAATATGCATTCCTTCAACTGATTCTCCAGAAAGGTTAAACTCAAACCAAATGCTCATGTGTCTTCTAAAATCCTCATTTCTGATCACTTTTACTGTACCTTCAATATCAGCACCCTCTTCAACCTCTAAAGGTTCGTCAAGCATAAATATGGCATTTTTCCAGTGGGTTTTTGGTGCATCTGGACTGGTTGAAAGCACAACTGGTTGGGGAGTATCATTTACATTGGTATCATTTGGTGGTGAATGAAATTCCACATCAAACCAGGAACCAAATCCATGAAACACACCTGCTTTCTCGACCCTAAATTTGATGTTGCAAGACCACAACTCAAGTTTAGGTACTGCTAGGTTTTTCATATCAAGTAGAACAATTGACTGTCCCTTACACAGATAATTACAAGGTTCTAAATCATAGTCTATTGTGGGTCGTTTAAAAAAATCTTCAACTGCTTTCGCCTTCAATGTTGAAAAGCTGAAACCATATTGTTGCTTCCACACCCCAATTTTTTGCTTGTATAATTCTGGCACAGAGCATGGAAACAGGAATAGTTGTGCGTATGTGGGCCACATCACACCTCCTGGTGAAAGCCAGTTATCCCGAGCAAATATCACAGAATCTATCATGTACTCAAACAGTAAAAACGTTCCCATCCATTCAGATATTATGATGTCCACTGTTTCCGGTAGTGAAACTGTTTCTATTCTACCCTTTATAACAGTTACTTTATCCTCCAAGTTATTTTCTTGCAGAACCCCTGGCAAATGGTCTGCTAGGCTGCTAGCCTCGACTGCATACACGTGCCTCGCTTGGCCCTCACGTGCACAGAACATGCTCAAAATTCCACTACCACAACCGACGTCCAACACCGTCTTCCCACGGACAAAATCCACGTTGCAAACGACAGCTCTTCGGTAGGCTTCTGTCCTGGCGACATCCCCAAGCATTTCTAGATGCAAGCGCATATGGCAATAGCTTTCGAAGTATTCCTCATCTTGCCATTTCTCCATCTCTTCGACCCTAGCAGGATGTTCCACATGATTCGCCGGAACATATCCCAAACTTCCTTCGATATTGGCCCACAGCCAGTCTTGGTTAACCCTCTCCACGACCAGGATGTTTTCACCGCGGCTAAAACTGAGCTGCTTTTCGTCTGCCGCGTTGTAGTCGCTTATCGCGACCAAGCGCTCAAAATTTTTTGACAAATCGGATTCCTCTTTCGCCGATTCGTAAGCGTTTTTCTGACCATTAGGATACTTTTCTGATTCATTCGATGAATTTTCCATTCAACTTACCCTTGTATTCGTAAACAGGATCTTCTAAACGATTTACAACCATGAACCATGCATGGTTAGGTTAATAATAACAAACTGCAGGAGGAATACCCCCCACAAGAACTGAATAATAACACCCCCCTGGATGAGCAGCGTTCATTTTTCGGCCATATTGGATTTCCTAATTTCGAATATAAATTTTTGGAAGAAAAGATTACTTTGAATGAAGTAAAATGTCAAATGCGTTGTTCACCAAGGCTCTTAAAGGAGCTGGTTTTTCCATAACTACATCGAAGGAAGGTGGTCGTTCCTTTCGTGGTAAGTTTTTATATTAGAATTTAGAAAGTCAGATATATTTTTGTACTACAGCTGATGAAAATTTCAAACTGTAAAACATCAAAATAGTACAAAATCTTCGACAACTCAAATTCAAATGTTATTTTTTGAATATTTTTGCAGTGAATATTGCATTTTGTCTGTAGCCTGTAGACGAGGTTAAAAAACGTCGAAGTGAGATCTGTTTTAGCAATTAAAATTCAAATTTACAAAAACCCTTTTGAAGTGAAGTTAAAGATATGTTGTAAGCTATTCATAATCAGTTCTGTCTTTGCAAAACAACATATCAAACTTGTATACAAATAAGCTGGGCATCTCAGGAAATATAAAAAGTTAACACAAGAGATAACAAACACTGTGTAACAAACACTTGGTACCTTGTGGATTATGTATTGTTTCCCTTTAACCACTCTTCCATATTTGTATCCCTGTTTTTTATCAATATGTTTCCTCATAAATAAATAACTTTGCTTATTTCTGTTTATCAATATGTTTCCTCATAAATAAATAACTTTGCTTACTTCTGTTTATCAGTATGTTTCCTCATAAATGAATAATTTTGCTTATTTCAAAATAGTTTGCAAAATGGTGGTTGAATAATTTTTGTCTTCACTCGTTCACATTTCATTGCATGCGCACAAGTACCATGACCATTGAACATCTAAGGTGCATGACATAGAGTGTGGGCAACTTTCAATTCCGCTATGTTTATAAAAATACCTGAGTATAGTAAATGAATCTTCCAGTGGAATTAGCAACCTTGCACGATGATCTAGCACCCTGGCTTGGTGATAATCATTGAATATATTATCTGTTGGAGAATCACTTGTAATAATTACCGCCTTCTTCTTTAAAAATAGTGCTTATTGTTGTCCAATCCCAAAGGAGGTTCTCAGTGGGCTGATTCGAAAGTAATATGTCTTCATGCCCAACAGACAATGAAATATCATCCAACAAATAGTTGGCTTGCGGAATAAAAAAAATCTAAGCATTCTGTTCTAGATGAGCATGATGACAGAACAAGTCAACCTTCCAGAGGTGGGGGCAAATACTCACGTGGCTCAACCAGAGGTAGTCGAGATCATTGGAGGGGTTCAAACAGGGGGAGACGTGGCAACAGAGGTCGGGGTAGACCAAGAGGGAGAGGTCGTACAAAAAATTGGCACTCTAGCGGGGAATCACAAGGGGAGAGTGAATTTCTTGGTGATGAGGATGGTGATGTCGACATGGAATCTGGGAGTGGGAGATAGTAAGTGCTTCGTAATTACTTATGTGTTTCATTAAAAAAAAACTACAGCCAATAATCAGGGTGCTTTTCTACATGAATTTATTAAGACTTGTTGAACATTAATTGAGTGAACAAGACAGTACCAGTACGTAGTTTCTTGGGAGTATGAAATTTATTTCTGTATTAGAGAATCACTGATTTCTCATCTTGAAAATCTTCTATACAATACATGACAAACATCATATTTTGTTTACTAGGTATAGCCTGTGTGTAAACCTTTGGGTTTACCCCTTTCATTTGTCTCTTATGTCTTAGTTGCCCAGACAGTCTGTTGTAACTCTTTTCTACTTGGCCACCTAATATTTTTTTACTCCAGCACACCATATGCCAGGCCTTCATATCGTCAGGGAGGAAGTAAGTTTACCAACTCAAGAAATGATATGAATCAGTCTGGTGAAACATGGAATAAAATTACGGTAAATTATTACGCCAAAATCTGTTATGTACCAATTGTCAACTCAACTTGAAATCTATACTGGAAGAATAGAAGCCCAATTAGAAACACATGAAACTTATTTCATGCAACAAAATGGGAAAAGTGAAAGTGAGAGATGTGAGAGAAGTTTTTGATTTGCTATGTTGGTGCAAGGCAATCCTAGTCCTAGGAAGATTTGTGTACATAACTACATGTTTCAACAATCTTCCCTCACTGATAAGTGTTTTAGAGAACCCTAAGGATTCCTAAAGTACCCATAATGTATTGTTGTTCACAGTACTTGTGTCTGTAAATTTATTAGATACCTAATGGCCGAAAACATGAACAGGGATGGTTGTTAAACCGACTTCACAAGTCATGTGAAGTTTCATTCCAACCTGTGGAGGTAAGTTAATCATCTGGCATTAGACAGAGTGATATACTAATTTTTGCTTGTCAATTTAGGCGGGAAGATTTCCGTGTTTCTATAGAGTTAAGGCGATTCTCCATTACGTCCGCTTCGCCCTCCGCTTCGCCCGCGCGGGCGAAGCGCGCTTTGTTTTTCAGGCCCGTCACGGTTGTATGGGCAGAATTTCAAAAGCCGCTTTGCCCGCGCGTTTGAGGCGTACGGTAATGGAGAATCACCTTTACAGAAACACGCTTCTCACCAATCAGCAGGCGCTTATTACAAATGTTATGTAACATGTTACTATAGTCTTATTATAGTCTCCCTAGCCTAATGAGTAATGTTATTTCTGTCTTTTATTTATTCAGTTTCACTTCACTCACGATAACGCGTGTTTTTTTGTGAATGACCAACATTCCGCCAACGCATTACGTTCTCTCAGCGGTTCGATTACCGTACGGGACGGCTCTAAGTTGTTCATTCAAGTACGACCATGTCCACCGCCGAAAATCACAAGCACTGATAGCCCTGATGGTGGTGGCCGCGGCGGATCAATTGACCAGGATATTCTAAAGGTTTGGCTAGTTTTTGTAAAATAATGTTTATTCAGGAGTGTTGGGGCCGGTTATATGAAAGCCGGATAGTGATTTTTTCAATCGCTTTAAAATCGCCCGTTTTTTGCTATAACTTTGATTAAATTTTAGTATTCCTATAAATAGAGGACCTCTTTAACAATACTTGGTTCCATACATGAAATTTATCGCTTTTCGAGCACTTTTAGAACGGTTGAAAAAATCCCTATCAGGTGAATAGCGCTATCCGGCTTTCGTTACAACTCGCCCCTGTACATTATGTGAATCCCTTGGTGACCTCTATGTGAACTGGAACGGTAACCAACAGTTGCCATCTTCAGAGTTGCAAAAAAGCTGCGGGTACGCGGGTGCCACCCGGAGGAAGGTTTGCTTTGACTGAGGCTTGTGAGGAAGGTTCAAAGTTGAACAATCTAATTGATCACATGCATGTACCAAAAAAACGAATATTTCTTTATGCTGGTTGCCACTTGACTCAGTGACGTAACGTCATTTTGAGGAAGGTTCTCAAAACTAGAAATCCCACCGGAGGAAGGTTGAACTCTTTTTGCAACTCTGGCCATCTTTGGAGTATTTGTACGTACTTGCCATTGCAACCGTTGCTGTTCTAAAGTGAGGTTTTCGCTTTAAATTTGTTTCTCTATTTCCAGCAATCTTTAGACACAAGATACGATGGGAGCACAAATAGTCTTGACTTAAGTAATTTTTATCACGACAAAGGTAACTAAAACAATGTCATTACGTTTTGACAAGCTTTGATTTCTTTTGAATTCTTTGTTTAAAATTTATGAACTTCCTCATAGAAAATCAAAGGTAATTCTTTTTCTGTATAATTATTTTTTAGTCCTTAACGATAACCAAGTGCAAAGTGGCTTAAACAAACCTTGGTTACTGGCGACGATTGTTAAACTTATTGAAGAATGCTGTCCACAGGTAGGCTAAAAATCAAATTTTACACTCCATTAATGCGGATAAATATTATTAATTTAAAGCCCGTAATAGTTTTAACGCCCAACAATTTTTTTACTAAAAGCAGTGGAGCTTTAATATTTATCTTCCAAAAAAGCTTCCCTCCCAGCACGTCCTTGGGAACATAATTGAATATATATTGACATAAAGCTACAATACGAACGTTGCAAGGTCGTAATGTTCGTTCCAAAGTTCGAATGTTCGTTCCAAATTTCGAATATTCGTTCCAAATTTCGAATATTCGTTCCAAATTTTGAATGTTCGTTTCAAAGTTCAAATCATCGTTTCAACGTTCGAATGTTTGTTCCAAATTTCGATTGTTCGTTCCAAAGTTCGAACGTTCGTTCCAAATTTCGAATGTTTGTTCCAAAAGTTCGAATGTTCGTTCCAAAGTTCGAATATTCGTTCCAAAGTTCGAATGTTCGTTAATATGTTCGTTCCAAATTTCGAATTTTCGTTCCAAAGTTCGAATGTTCGTTAATATGTTCGTTCCAAATTTCGAATGTTCGTTAATATGTTCGTTCCTAATTTCGAATGTTCGTTCCAAAGTTCGAATGTTCGTTAATATGTTCGTTCCAAATTTCGAATGTTCGTTCCAAAGTTCGAATGTTCGTTAATATGTTTGTTCCAAATTTCGAATGTTCGTTCCAAAGTTCGAATGTTCGTTAATATGTTCGTTCCTAATTTCGAATGTTCGTTCCAAAGTTCGAATGTTCGTTAATATGTTCGTTCCTAATTTCGAATGTTCGTTCTAAAGTTCGATTGAATGAATCTTAAATTTCATATTTTCGAGGCCTGTGATCATATTTTTGTCTGACGATCTCGGAATGCAATATATGTTTGTTCTCTTTTGCGAGAAATAAGGCTAACTTAAGGCTAAATTATATTACTCTCGTAAAACATGCACGTATGTAATTATAAATATGAAGTCGTAAGTTCTAAATTGCAATACGATAAGAATTTCTCCACGTAATCCCTGCGTGCATCCTACTGTAAATCTCATATCCCATCAACAAAGTAATTCTAATTAACGTGCAAATAGCATTTAATTTCTTTCATTATATAGCTGGAGAATCTGGATCTTCGAAGCAACAGAATAGCAAGTCTTGATGCTTTAAAAGATCTACACGACGCCGCACCAAAGCTTTCATCCTTACATCTTGGAGAGAACAGTGTAAGTCGTTTTTTGGAGAAAGAATTGTTAATTCATTGTAAATTTTGAAGTTGGAAGAATTCCCAATTCTAGCATTTTCATGGCTGTATATAAATATAGGGGTCAAAGCAGACTCCACGTTGCAAAAATTTTTGGTTCTACGCAGCATAAATTTCGCTCTTGTAAAATTTAGACTGGCGTATCTAGACAGGCTGTCGACAATATAGCGTAGTGAGAATCGTCTCATAGGAGCTTTAGATAAAAATTGTGCATGTAGTTGGTTTTTGGGCTTGAGCTCAATTTTTATCATTTATTCACAGCTTCGACATATAAATGAATTGAAAAAGATAAAAAATTTGAAAGAACTGAAGGTATTAGTCGTTGATGGCAATCCTCTATGTGACAATTACAGAAACAGTCAAACTGGATATGTCAGGTATTTATTATAGCGCATATATACAGTATTAAGTAGTTTGGAAATCTCGGAAAATCTCAAAACGTTGCATTTAGGGTTAACCGAGTTAAAACGATGGGTTTTATCCGTGTGCATGTATAACGGCGACTCTGGACTTTTGTTTTTGTCCACTGCTCCTGTTCAAGTTGTAGTTCTTGCTATTATGCTTCTATGCAAAAATTTCTTCACGATAAACCTGTCTTTGTGCATGTCTTTCCCACCCAATGCTATACACATTTTGTGAGGTTATTTCCATTTATATATTATCTGAAGCGGTCGAATTTTCAATATTGAATTGTATTTAATATAGTGACATCAGAAGCATATTTCCGAAGTTGTTGTCTCTGGTTAGTTGCATTTTTTTTGTCATATAAAATAAGGCGAAGTTTAAGAGCACATTTCAGTCATAAAAGTGCCTAATTACCACATCAAAAACATGCACATAGCCAACTGCGCTAAGAAGGCAATGTATAAATAATGCCTGGACTCCTTGCAGAAAAAAGGAGGGAAAACATGGAATTTTCACACAGTTAATATATTCCTTCCTGTGTTATATCGCATAAGACGTTCATCCGTTTTTATAAACAGTTTACGACAACACGCATTTTGGCAAATATACATTGCCCGTCGTTTTGATTGAATACGTTGTCCATCCTTATGACAATTATGCGATCGGCATGTAACTGTATGAGTTAAATTCTCCAAAACTGCACGAGGTGCCGAATTTAACCATTCCAAACATGTCTCTTTAGGATAACTGCGAACTTCCGGATCACATTGGTTTTGACATACCTTCATCGACAAATCTACCAGAGACAAAAGTAAGATTATTTTTGCAAACTAAAATTATTTTTGATAAAGTTATTTTTGCATACACCTATCTTTATAGTAGCTTGTTTACTGGAAGAGATTCGGAAAATTAGTGACGTATACTGTTGCATAAGAATTAAAGACGTGCGATGGGATTATGTGAAGTTGCGGTGATTGGTTTGCAACATTTCAAGAGTTGTGAGAATTTTATATGCTGTTTGTTAAAACACCGTATGATCATCGTCGCCCGTCACAACCCCGTAACACACTTCCCACATTACATGGAGTGTTTTCAGCGCGGCTAACCAAGAATCTAAATAAGTCTACTACCAGCCTTTACAAACTCAGCCCGCTGAGGTGTCATAACACAGCCCGGGCTGAAACTTGCCATGTAGCTAATTGAAAAATACTTTGCATGGCCCCGGTTTGCCGGGCTGGCCGGGCTGAAACTCAGCCCAGGCTGAAACTCAGACACCATGTAATCAGCCCTTAATTTAGTCTCAACGGCGTACGATTTGTAAGTTTCTGTGAAATGCATGCAACCCTGCGAAATGCCTGGTGGTCTGACGGCTATGATTAGAGATACGAATATTCGATTTTATCATTGAAATCGTCATCATATAAACTCCTTTGTTGCGTTCTTAATGTAACGTCGTTCACCTAACATCGTTCTTCGACTGAGGCTTAAATCCATTTTCCTTTAGGGAAGTTTTATTCCGGATGAGATCACAAAGAAATTGGTGCTTCCGTTCGTTAAACAGTATGTAGAAATTATTTCCTTACCAATCCTCAGGTATTGTCATTCCATGCAGTCTGTCCCTGAGTAATGTTGTGTAAATGATGTCAGGTTTGTTAAATGTATTTTAGCAGGATAGTATGTCATTTGGCTCTCTGAGGCTCTACCTAGGCAGTTGGCTCTCTGAGCCTCTACCCTGCTAACAACAGCTTCCACTGTCCGCCTCGTTTTCAAGTTATTTATGTGTGACTTTATTCAATTTCGGAGGTGTCTGTTTAGGAATACAAACATGGCTGTATATACACTGTTATGCTCTGCAGAAATAGCCCCCAATGAAAAATTCTAGTGCGATTTTAATATTATTATTTCATTTTGACGAGGTCATGCATTCGATTAATCGATTAGGTACATATTTTCGATTGGTTTCATTTACAATTTACATTATCCTAACGAAATTTTCCCCGAACATACCCTTTTCTACAGAATTAACATATAGGACAAAAGTTGAATACAGTCCGCTCACTAATATTGCATCGTTGTTTAATAAAAGTAGCTAATTTCGCTATCATACGTATGTCTGAAAATCATATTAAAAAAGATTTTTGATTAGGATAAGTTTAGCCTTGACAAGAAGCCTCTATATATTGAAAATTTCCATGTCTATAACGAGAAACACAAGCAACCATGCAATTATTTACAAATTGGTTATATGTTGAAATTTTTATGCAAAAATATTTCGGTCTAGCAAATGTCTTGTCTAGCGTCGGATGATTTTACCCGTGGAAATGGCTTTAAAAGTCTGAAATTTTTCCCTAAACATTTTCTGCCCCAAAATATTGTCAGAATGACCGCGCATTTTGTGACATAACGCCCTTGTTATAGAATGTTGAGGAGGCAAGACGCTAAACGAGGGTCGGCTACGCAACTGACATTTTTACTTTCATCATAATAGGTCATCTTGCACCCACCAAAATATCTTTTACCTTTTTCATGTGTTTCATTTAAATTTCCATTCAATCGTTATTTTCAATCTTGTCTGTATCTGTGTTTGTCTAACTGTCCGTCAATAGCTGTCCGTCTTATGCATTGGAGACACATGGATTCTCCGAGCACTGCGTATCTTCTTCTCAGATACAACCTGAACTGTCACGAAGAGCTTGTGGTTTTCACCAAAACCCAACATACGGCTACGAACATGCACTGCCATGCTAGGGTACCCACGACTCGGGACCATCAAATACAGCAGGCAAGCCGTCATAGAACAAGCATCTACCAAAAGTTTCGGCCGGGTCAGGTATTACCATAAAAGGGAGGCGTTTTGACAGCCAGGAATCCCAGGATGCCTGTTTAAACCCGTTGAAAGATGGGGACAAGCATGGTAAAGAAACACCTGCTGCTCCACTTTCACCCAAAATATCCTCGGAGTCAAGCACTCCAGAATCGTGACAATACTTCCTGTAATCTATGTTCCACTATTGTTGATTATTGTTTTTCTGTTCTCGTGTTTTAGTTACGACACAATCATATACGCCACTGTACGTCATTTAAGGCCCTTTATTTTTGTACATATGCATCTTCCATATCGTTAGTCTACAGTCTTTAATATTCGCTTCGCATTATTCGTGTTTAAATGTCACTTGCAATGCTGCTCGTTAGCTTTTCCTGCTTTGAAAGGGGTGTTTCAATTAAAATATTTGTATATATAATATGAGTCGAAAACGGTTCAAATTCGTTCTAATTCGAGGCTAAAATGACGAAAACACCACGTTGAAAGTTCGGAGCAAAGTCGGTGTAATACGTCATGTAAAACTGGATGTGAAATTTTCGCCCACTGATAAAATCATCCGTTAGACAAAGCTGTAGTTTGAAAATACACTTTCAATTACGCTTGGCTACCGTGTATAAGAGTAATACGACTATATATGTACTTGAACGCTTGCAATTGTATAATGCCATAATGTTTGGTCAATCAAAATAAATGAAAAGTTTTTTCTTGTCTAAAATTTGACCTATTAAGGAGATAACCTACTAGGCAGCGCGCAAAAAATTAACACCACCGCTATTGAATTCAATGAAGTAAAAGTCCAACTAGAAGTTTTCTTAGATCAAAATGTTGAGACGTTTCTTGTATATTTCGTTTTGATTGACTAGATGTTTCACTGAACTATATATAATAGTCCAGTAAAGTATAAAACGTGTATATTCGCCATGTTTGCACCCACCCCTCCCCCCCCACCGAAACTGTGGTTTATTAATATCAACGCTCAATACAACTGAGTGTGGATTTACTTCTATAACCATTCATCATCTCTAGTTTTTTGTCGCTTTCCATACTTATCGCGTACGGTGATTTCTTTTGTACAATTTTCGCCCATTATATTCGCTTTTGTTTTTGTCCTTGCATCTATCCAACTCTCTAGGTATTTCGCTGCGTATGACTGTGACAACAGACAAAAATTGCTCGGTGCGTACGATGACGATGTAAGTTCTTGATGCGAAGTACTCTGAAAAATATTTTTCTTTTTAAAACCCCCTGCATGGTAACCACGTGAATATTCGATGCATCTAATATTTGGTCATCATTACTAAGACCTAGGTTATACGACACATTTTGGTCGCGTCAAATGCAATTCAAACAATAGATAATGAGCTGATAAACCTTATTACGCTTCATTATCATCTCATCTATTGTTTGAATTGCATTCGACGCGACCAAAATGCGATGTATAACCTAGGCTTACGCCTGTATTCAAAAAGCATGCTCACACTCATTGAGTGTGACATATAAATTTCGTTAATGCTGATCAATGAAAAAGTTTGAATAGATGGAAAGATATAAGGTAAATCACTGAAAATCAAGCCCCTATTCGGCTCGAAATATACTGCCATTGAAACGTTATGAGAAGATTAAGATCTCCCACTCAACGAGTTTGAGTGAGACAGAGCTTTTAGAATACAGGCGTTAGTGTTTTGAGTTATTCTTACCAACGTTGGTACACGCTGTCCTAAAGAACTATATTGATTTCGCCTGTTGTTAGAATTTGAATGCCCCATATAGCAATATATGCTCAACTAACTATAGTGCACAAAGAATTGCAAAAACTGTCACAATTGCTAGTATTACTCATGCAGTAAACTTATCTTCATACCAGAGAAAACGACATAAACCAACGTGTGCATATTCAAAATGCAATCAAAATTTATATCTTCTACTGTATGTCTAGGCAGTGTTTTCCATGTGTGCGGTGGATTTTAAAAAGGATCGTGGAAATGCGTACGTATTGTTCAAACCCTGTGTGTGTGTGTCCTTGTGTTTATACCACCTTTCTGTTCTGTGATGTTCATGCATACAGTAATTTAGTATAGGTGAGAGCAGAAATGAGTGTGGGTTTGTTTTATAGGTCGACTCTTCTCCCTGTGTATCGCAAGAACAGTAGAAATATAAAGTTTGTTCGTGATTCAGGTTCGTATAATGCTAACGATAATCGCCACCACCCTTTTCCTCTCAAGCCAAGTCGTCACGATTTTCCCTACCTTTCATCCCTTCCCCATATCTCTATGTACAAAACAAAAAAGACTTGTTTATATGGCTCGATCCTACAAACTTTCGCGATACAGTGGTAAATATCGGAAGTAAACTCCATATATCTAAGCAACACTTGCCAGCATTGTAAATTTCACCTATCCCACGAACTTCACGGCCCTTCCACTGTCGTTACCACAGTTCTCACGATTCTCAATCCAGTCTTTTCGCTGCCTGAGATAAGTTGTTGCTTGATAAAGAGTATTTTACTGTATTCACATTTATTATTCCGCAGAGCGGCGGATGGAATTACTCAAAGTATCTCGACTCTCCGTCGTCGCTTTTCTTAATGATCTGCCCTCAACAAAACACGACTTAGAAAGCTTGACAGTTGATGTCAATTTTGTGCAAGTAAGATCTTGCGCGTTGTTGGTAAATTTAAAACAGGGAATTCAGGTTGATCCAGTAGCTTATCCATAGTTATTTGTGCCATATCGCGAAGGTAATACTTAATCGCTTCACAAATTTACCGTTTTGCAGCAAGCTTGTCTTGGGTTTACAGTTTGTGGTCTCTTCAAAGAAGGTGTGTAAAAATTATTTAGATAAAAAGATACACGAAATTGCTTGTTTAAGTCTTGGGGAATTCGCACATCGTGGGCGAGCTGGATACATTGACTGGATGTGTATTACGGGCGTGTGATCTTTAATAGTCTTTGCGACGTATTGCGATGGGTACACTTAGGCCTGTTTCCACTTCAACCGTAACGTAACGTAGCGTAGTTCTTCGTTTTCGAAGTATTCGATCAGAACTAATGGCTTTAAAACAATGAGATACGCTATGTTTGGCTATACGATACGGTTGAAGTTGAAAACGACCAGCCTTTACACTGCTAGTTGTCATAATGATAATAACTTCTTGGGTTACCATTAATATCACCGTTCAAATACACCACATTAAATACACCGTTTCTCCATTACGCATGCATTAATACATGTATCACCGTTGAAATACACATCTTTCGTTCACCCTGTCCATCTATCTCGTAAATGGGAGAACAGTGGCCGTATTGGATGACGTAATTCTCACTGTTTTACAATTCTGTTTGTCATAGGAGATGCAGAGGAACTGAGAGCGTTTACCCGTGCTTTCATTGCTGTTCCTGCCGCGGGAAATTCGTGAGTAGAATCCTAAATTTCCTTCCAGCATGGTAGCTAATAGACCTACCACCAGGTCGCCACTTTACCCTAATGTTGACCCTTTGTATCGAAAATGGCACCATGCATAATTTCGGCATGCAATTTAAGAATGGGTGTTCAGAATACTATTGCTTTCTGTTTCAATAATGCAGATAAACCATGTATGATTTTGTTTTTCGGCAGTTTTTCTCCCTCTAGTTTTCTAATTACGCGTTATATTGTAGGCGATTACAATCAACCGTGAGGTTAGGCTTTTAAGAATGTTATAGATAAATTAAGATATATAGTAACGGGAAAAAATTCCCGCAGGAGGGCTTTCAAAAGCGTCTCGGGGATGTGGCACAGTTACTGCATAAGCTATTGGGTAAAACCAGAATAAAGACTCGGTACGTGTTCTCCATACGTTATGCATATACAGCTAAAGGGTGTTCCATTCTTGTTCACAACTGTAGAATCGCGATTGTCAACGATCAGCTGTTGATACGAAGTCCAACGTTGGGTCAACGAGAGGTTCGTTTGGCAACCCATATTATTGTTTTAGCATTGGTGGCATAAGTTTGGAAAATTGAAAGAACATAGTTCCTACCAATTGATATTTTCGATTCTGCTGTATTTGTTGACATAGGGCCAATAATAAATGATTGTTCTGTATACGAGGAAAAATGTTAGAATGTTAAATTTTGTTAGAATTTGATCCGATCTGACCATTTCATCCCACTCCAGATCAAATGCTGATCCATGTTACCACTTTATTTTATTTAGGAGTTCGCTAAAAGATCATCAGGAATGGGAAACACCGTCGCCTCTCCAAGCATATTCCCCGTTTCAGCGACTCCCGTGTCATCGCCTAATCCTCTCGCTGGCCTCGGTGCTCATGCAGCGGTCACTCCTCAAGCGACCGCCGGTCTTTTGGTTGCTTCAGGCCCAATGGCTGGAATTAATCCGCAGGTATATGACATGGAAAACACCCATATCAAACGCCCATATCTTTTTTTATACGTCGAGTCTGGAAGCTATAGTTAAGTTTCGTATGAGGAAATTATGCTCGGAACCACAGAACAGACAGAAAGGTTTCTTCGACGGTGAACTAAAACTAATCGCATTGCTTTAACAAATAACACGTCCTTTTTTCGAACACACCCTTATATAATCACGGATATCATACGAGCACCCATATCGTTTCTTATTTTACCTGTAGAACATATTTATAGTACCATATATTCTTTGCATATGTTACGCTCTGACATACATAGTCGGCTACAGAGGAAATTTTGTAGTTCACCAGAAGAGCAGTTCTATTGCTTGTTTGTTTAAAATGGTTCCATTTGTTTCTTTTCAGCAACAAGAACTGGTCACCCAGTTCTCGACGCAGTCTGCCATGAATCTCGAATGGTCTTTCAAGTGAGCGATTATTTCTACACACAGTGTTATATATACATATAGGCATTGAAATATACCTTTACACAAACCGGGTGGGAAAGGCGGGATGGGTGGTGATCACAATCAGCCCAGTGATGCACCAAATCTTTCGGTAAACTTTGTTTTAGGGAGATTATCGTGCAACTGATTTATCTTATTTTAACCGTAATTGTATCTTTGTACCCCTGTCTTGCCGCCCCCTGTACCCTTCTTATCCCCTTATCGTAGTTTCACCTGTACCCTTCTTATTCCCCCTATCGTAGTTTTACCCGTACCCTTCTTATCCCTCCTATCGCAGTTTTAACCTACCTTACCCTTCTTTCACAAGACTGTGATGTGGCTGAAAAGAATATCCCCTAGACAAAACATTTACATTACATCCTACAGTCATTTTTGTTGACCGATTTTTAGAGCTCTCTCGGAAAACAACTGGGATTATCAAAAAGCAGCGGAGGTCTTCAAAACTCTTCACGCGCAAAAGAAAATTCCTTCAGAAGCATTCTCGAAGTAGACATGCGCACTAGACTTGAAACATTCAAGTACAGTCTTTACTTTAGCAATCAAAACAGTGGAATTGTTGTTGCAATTTCCATAGCGCCTTAGCACTAAGGAGGTAATGATTTGTTTGGTTTAAGCAATCAGAAACAATAGTTGAGGTGTTTTCTTGACACTTGAGGAAGTACCGAAAACAGTTGGCATGCATATATCCTGATATATGATATATAATGATAGTAGGTACAGATGTATGACCTTGTAAATAGCCATAAAGATAGATTGAAGGCAATATATTTATATTGGCGACCAATCGGACTATATCGATGATCTTACCAGAGTCTTGCGAACATCGCGAACTCCAAAGAATTACTGAGAAATGTATTTCTGAAATTCATCAGCATTTCAATAGACACGAAATTTTGAGTTTAATTTAAACCAAGAGCTTCAGAAGTTAATCGTATCTTAATATTACGTCTGCTTAAAAAGTGATAGGTATAGCTACTTCATGAAAACATACAAAATATTTTGCATATTTTGCCTAAATAGATATTCATGCAAACGTCAAACAAACGTAAATTTACTGCAAAACTTGTCTGGCAGCCATTTTTATCAGACGATGTGTCAAAAACCGAATTTAATCGCGTGTTTATGTTTAAATACCAGCTGACCTGCTAAGATTTTGAAAAGGTCACTCGAGTGAAGTCAATCGTGACCAAATTGCTACATTTAATGCTTTGCTTCTCGATTATAGTCTAGCGAATTACAATATATTATTTCTCCTTTGCCATAAACTTGATGTCAATCTGAAAGCAGTATTTTAAAGAAGATTTCACCGTTGTTGGAGGTAGGAAAAAAATGTTTTTTTATGTTGTTTGCCAAATATATGTCATACTATTCAACTGGAACAAAGTTTACAAAACAATTGCCAGAATATTGTTTAAACAACCAAACATCAGGCTTATTTCACGGCGAATATATAGAACTTCGGTTGAATTTTTGAGCTTTGGAAATCGTTCGTTAGCGAAACTCCAAAGATCTGTCGAAATGTGGATTTTTGCAAAAAGGAGTTGGGGGAATGTAGATTTTAAATATTTTCTAAGCACTTCCTTCTATCGCCATTGTCATTGCATGAAAATATACTTAAAACAATCTGATAATAGCTTTAGGTTTGATGATATATATTTAGTGTTATGATGTTTCGTAGGTTTTAATTTTTATATTTATTTTAATAATGTGTGAATTCAGAGTATACGGCTAGTTAGATTCGTTCTAAATTTGTGGTGTCTGAAAGCGAGGCGACGCGAAGTCTCGGAGTTTTTAATTCCGAACCCAATTTCCCCCGACCCTTAGTTCGCAGAGTAGTATATATGCACCGGCGTTGCACCTTTTCACTGCGTGATAAAGATGAACGTTTAGGATAGTTGGACGCGTGCATGTGTAATAAATAGGATTCAATGTTGATATTGTATTGCTGCCGTCGTGTTGAAAGGTTTTATCTGATTTTGCAATGTGTAAATGTGTCGTGTCAGAGGATATTGTATATGGCCATGCATGCACTAAGATGAAGAACTACAATGTCCTGTGCCAAAGATATTAGTGTCGATTAACACATTCGAGACATGTGTAATCAAGGAAACATTAACATTAGGGTTATTATCGTTTAATGATCAATGATCTCTCTGAACTTTTCGGTGCAGGAATAACGAATAAGGTAAGGTCACGCATTTACATGGCTTGCATGATTCGTGGGCCTAATGCTCACGATGACGATGTGTTTTGAAACGCTTTTATTAACTCATGCAGAGAGATATTAATTTTTTTAACTCCATGCAAAATGGGCAAACATATTTACTTCATAACTTAACTATAAAAACTAATTACCAGAATTACACCGTTAATAAAAACGTAACCTAAATTTCAAATCCCCAATTTCAAATGAAGGTAAAAGGATGTTCAAATCTTAGTTTTGTTTTTAAGATCAGTAGGTCTATTCCTCCGACCTTAAACATGGTCGAGAGGCTATATGACAGACCGTATGTTCGCAGTTGTCATTTTGCAAATGTCTTAAAAGAATTTACCCTTTCAGTGATTCCGACTATTCTATAACCTCGGTTAATTTGCGGCTTCTTTTTGAGTTTTTAACTTTGAAGCATTGTTTATACATAACATGCATGTCAATCAATAAATATAATTCTGACAGAGGCCCTCAGTAGCAGGTATCCGGCCAAGCCTACAAACAAAGTTGAAAAAAAAATTGCTTTTATATTTTTTAGGCCTGTTTTACAAAAGCTCTTATATCTTCATCTAGAATGCGGCTGTTTTGTTCTATTCTTATTTCATTTTACTGCACTTTCACTGCTTTTCCTGCTGCCAAAGGTAAGAATGAAATAATTTTATAATATACTTGATGTTAGGCTAATACTTATATCAAGGACTGTTAAATTTCAAAAGCGATATGAACGATGAAGTAATCGGAAGCAATGATTGCCATTTATTTCTTATATGCTCGCGAAAGGGATCCAGAATGTCGTTGTTTTGAAAGAAGTCGGCAAGTCTGCAGAAGGGGATTAATAAGATTACAACCTCCAACACGATCAACGCATTTTATATCTCATGTATGTCGTCTTTGACGGCCCAGCTTGTTTTGCTCTTATAAATATAATCACCCTATGTCCTTTGAAAAAAACATGGATCTGAACAAGGTCTGTCAGTTTATCTCGTACTCTTCAGTCTTCACGAGACAAACTTTTGTTCTGATAAATATTTTGTAATAACTTTTATCTTATAAATAATCATCATATATATGCCAACCATTTGTCCTATGAAAAAAACAGGGATCTGAACAGGGTCTGTCCGTTTACCTCGCCGGTACTCTTCACGAGATAAACTTTTGTCGTAATAAATATATCGGTTCTTGCGCCAAACGTCTCCACGGATCGATAATGCCCGCGGTTTGATCACATCATCATATGCGAATCAATGCTGTTTGGATTTCTAGGAGCGGATGATTTAGAGAATGTTGACGATGTTCCACCCTGGGGCCACGGAAGAACAAATGATCTGGGTATGAACGCACGCTGTATCGAAAATACTTTAAATGCATGTGCTTACAGATGTAAGATTGGATGAAAAAGGTTTCCCCAGCCTAATAGACCTTTCTCTTTTTATCTTTCAAGCGCGCAACGCGTGATAGTAGTTTATTATTAAGGTCTATTTGAGTTGTGATTTCGCCATGTTCAGGAGCGATTTAGTTTGACAAAGATGCAAAAAGAATCTGCAAGGTTTTCTTACAAACAAAATCGCTTCAAAGCAGAGCGATATATCGCAACTCAAAGTTGCTTGATAATATCAAGCCAATACGGTCACGCATTGCGCGCTTGAAAGCTAAAAGGGAAAAGGTTCTATTGCATGTTTAATATCAAGAGGAAATGAGGAATAGTAACCATAATTTTGGGTTTTCTTAACGCTTTGAATCTTCCAGGAGATTTCGAACTTTCTAATTTCCACTTCAGTGTACGGCGTCGAAGCTTGGAAAAACATATCGAAGATGTGCAGTGGGTTACGACAATCACCGATCAACATAAATCATAACCGGGCGCGAAGAAAGAAAAACCGATCGAAAATCTCCGTGCAATTTACCCTCGAAAACGGTCAGGTTTTCGGCGATTTGGAAAACAACGGTCACTCACCAGTCTTTACAGTGAACGCGTCCCGCGCCTCTGCACAGCTTACGAATGTTCCCAATCATCGCAAGGATATCTTTGTCCTCAAGAAGATATATTTCAGATTCGGCTGTACGGAGATGGCAGGATCTGAGCACCAGTTTGACGGCGCGCCAACACCAGGAGAGGTATGGTGCTGGGACCAGTGTTCCACTGTGCATGGTTATTACATAATAAAATATATACAATTTCTATTAATTGAACTGTTTTTCTTAGATTCATCTTGTGTTCTATAAGGACCAGTATCGTACACTGGATCGAGCGATGAGTAAGACGGATGGTCTGGTTATAATTGCCGTTCTTTTAGGGGTAAGGGTAATTTTTTTTCTTTACGAGAACTACAGTAGCGAAGAGAGGAAGTTCTTTGTCCTGCATGAATCTACTCTCATCATGCACAGATCCCCGGGGATCTTTTATTGCGCTTTGTTGCCCCCTTAACATGCTTTAATGCATACAGCTTTCAGGCTTCGCCATTGTCCAGAGTCCGGACTTCTTCTATTCTATACTCGCAAATCTGTTGGCGGTCCTGGTACAGATTATCAAATTGTAACGCAATTGCTGATAAATTGCTTTGTTAACAGGTTCAGACTTCAGACAAAAGAGCTTTGTATACGACACGTGTTCACTGTTCATATTTTTCTCCATGTAAAATCTATGTTTTTCTTGTAAATGTTCTAGGGCGATCTAAATTACAACAGAGGTCTTACAGATATCACCACACACTTGACTCGGATAAAAGAACCAGGTATTTCGTGAAAGTTCTTCCTTGCCCTCTTAAGGAGAAATGGACACTATTTTTATATAGCTTTAGATGGATTAAGATATTTCTATAGTAAGCATGCCTTATATATAGACGCTTTTGAGGTTGCAAAACGTTTTTATTGCAAATTTATCTCCTCTTAAATATCTCTTGTTTCAGGCAACAAAGTGGAGTTAAAGAATGGCGTGAGACTCTCATATTTAGTGCCAGAACTGACCGAAAATAAACTGAAGTATTACACGTATAAAGGGTCGATCACGACTCCACCATGCTTCGAGAGTGTACGGTGGTTTGTGATGAAGAGTCCTATTGCTGTCACTAAACAACAGGTACAAAATGAAATCTTATCCGCTGCAAGGGAGGGAGGAGGGGGAAGAGGAGGGGGGAAGAGGAGGAGGGGGAAGAGGAGGAGGGAGGGAAGACGAGGGGGTGAGAGGGCGATGTCTCAAAACAAAAAAGTTAGATGTGATACAAATTTGAATTTTGAAAATTTCCTTCTTTGTTCTAGCTGGAAGAGTTGCGTCAGTTGGAAGGTTCAAATGGCAGGATGTGTGACAATTTCCGTAAAGTTCAAAAACTCCACGGTCGATTCTTGTCCCTGTACTTGTAGATAGGTTGTTGGTCAACAGGAAACTAGACCCATCGAAGACACCAACAACCAGATAAGATGATAAAACCTGGCTTCTTCATGGCCTTACCTTGAACTGGACGACATTTGAAATGTTTCAACGTCGTATCACACGTAAAATCTTAGCTTAGAAAGCGAAGCTGAAGGACAAAGACCCGCGAGCTTTCCCTTCGTGATAAAGCGCATTTCTCAATGTTAAAATTTACGTAGAAATTTCATGAACGTTTTAACGAGGAATGATATGCCTCTCTTCTGTCCATAGGCGTTCAGAGAAAAACGTTGAATCTATTCAAAAGACCTGTAACCTACTGAAATAGCCGCGTACGAATATGGATTTAATTACCTGTAAATTTTTTTATACAAATCAAACATGTTTTTATATACAGAATTTGAACCGCCTTAAGTTTTTTGGTTGTCTGTGAAAATATATAACAGAACACGAGTGTTCCTGGGCAAGCGTAGTGGTTCACATACTGGCTCATATACTAGTTTCATCAATTGTAGGCGCATGTAAGAATGCACAATCTGTAGATAAGTAAACTTACTCCTATAGCATTTTTACCAGTAAACAACAAATGAAGATCGGTCGTCACACCGAACTTAAATATCATGATCAGACGAAGTATAAGAAACGGTGCGTCCATCATGAAGATTCCCACGAGAATGTTGTAAAGATCGCCATGAAAACGACTCTTTTTCGCTTTCTGCAACTCTCGAAGTTGCTCTTCGCGTAGTTTAAGGAGAAGTTTGTTTCTCGTTCGAATCTCTTCGTCTTCCAGTCTGTAAGCTTCGAGCAATCTTTTCTGGTTGTGTGCGCGAGATTTCTTCACCAGTTTGTGAAGGTATTTTGGCATGGAGCGGTTCAAAGCCACTTTGTTCGGTGTCTCGTGGTCCTTGCCTGCCGTTTGACTTAGCGTTCGCTAAAAAGGGAAGTAAAACTCAGAATTTGTACCCCCTGGCATACTATATTCCGGTGTATTCGACCTTACCAAGGTCGATCATACCATATTCCGGTATATCTGACCTTTATACCAAAGGTCGATCATACCATATTCCGGTATATTTGACCTTTATACCAAAGGTCGATCATAACAAGTCATATTAATTCCGGTATATTCGACCTTAACATAGTCCATGGTCGAATATACTGCACTCTGGTATATTCGACCTTCACTATATTTTTATCGTATCAGTCTGTTTTATATCATGCAGTTTCCAATGACTAGTTGACCTGGTCAAGTATTATTCTATACATCGGTATCTTTAACAAAGTGCTTAACAAGAAAGCCAGTTTTATTTATTGCCAAATTCGTACTCATTTTTTTGTGCTTGTGAAATTTCGGATTTCAGTCTTTATCCGTCCCTGACGCATACATAGATTCAAGTCATTTGAATAGCTTCCCTACGATTTTAGTAATTTTTCTTTTCGGCAACTCTAAAATTAATACTCTATGTAAGACTTACTGATCTGCCTCTCATATTTTTTACTTCCATCTTTGTTTCGCGCAATGGATCATGATCGGCAACGGTCTCGGCGGTAGCCGTTCTCACGAAGGCAAACTGAAGAACACTCCAGGTGTACGTACAAAGTACGGCGATATACAGATCCTTATTCAGGCGAAGCTCTTTCTTGTCGTCAAAAACTTCGAATAGTTCTGTAAGAAAACAGATTTTCAGCAACTTTGGTTTGCGCTATGGGGCAATCGGTGTTGTATTACTTCACCAGGGTTGACTCTTTGCGGGAAAACTTCAAAATACGTATTCTTTCAAGCACATTAAATGTTGCTTGACTTCCTACCCATAATGTCAGCTGCTGTGCCAACATACGTAAGCAACAATGCAGACAGTTGATCTCTGGTTATCTTTCCTCTTGGAAGAAGCCAACGGCCTGTGATTATTACGATAATTAAACCTAACTCGGAGAATTTTTGACTGAATTCCTATAAAAAGTTCAAAGGATAGGTTGCCAAAGGTTCTAATAAACCGTGACATGAAATTTCACGAACTAGCACTTGTTACATCAAACATTCGGTATTGACTTACAAAACTGTTTTCATTTTGGTCTTCCAACATAGCCATTTCGACAGCCCAAATTAGCGACAGTATTGTGAGAAGATAACACAAACCTCCTGGCCAGACACTAAATAATGATCATGTATGTTAACACAAGGTAAAAACTCCAGACTGATTAGAAAGACAAGGTCGCCACTCTGAGTTGTGTGTGAACACTTCATATTGGCATGCATGGATAGTGTGCGGCTATGCGCCTCACAAAAGTCAATAATTTGGCTTCTATCTAGCCTTCGTGCTGTGCAGATGTAACGAGGCATAAACTATACTATTGAGGTCACTGTAGCAAACTACCAAAAAATACCCAAAGCCGGGCGACTCACTATTTGTATTCTAATCCTTTTCTTCTGATCAAAGTGTAAACACTTTCGCTGACCAACAGCAACAATCCGAAACAGTACAAGACGATGTAACCAAACTTGATTTCATGAACTTCGCGTAATTTTACCAACGTTAGGATCGCATGGGTCACGAAAAGGGCCCTGGTAAAGACCGCGTTGAATATACGAAAGAATAGAGACATTTTGACCGCACTTTTTTCTTCACCTACAATTTATCATGTATTACGTTGCTAAGTAACACCGCAGCTCCTCATTAAATGATCGTTAAAGCCGTTAATAGGCAGCAATTAGTATTCTAATGAGGTTATAATTATTGGTTGTGTTCATTGATGTGACCACCGGCAGAGGAAATAATAGATACAGAGATCTAACTGGTGTACCCACTTTTTCAATGCGCATGCTAGGCAAGTGCCTGAGATGGAAAGTATAAACACTCAAGCAAAGTCAGCACAGAGTAGACGACAGATCAATGGATTTATCTGTATTATTTACTCTGAGTGTCGACAGACACTTGCCGAGCATGCGCAGTTGCTTACTTTTAGCTCACGCGCGCAAAAAAGGTGGGTACATAAAAGCGTCACTTTTAGTTACTGTGCGCAAGCTAGTTATATCTCTGTATCTATTACTTACTCTGTGATGTGACAAACATTTTAGAATATAACAAGTGTGGGTTTTGAATTCGAAGGTGATAGTTAATAGTATGCATTACATGAAGTAGTGCGATTAATCGTGAACTGGCGTTCACTTTCGGTTCTTGTCGGTAAAGTTTTCCCTGCCTCGGTACAAATTCGGAAACACTTCGTGTCTTCGTGCAAAGCACGTTGTGTTTTGGTATTTTTCGTTTGCAATTTGCATTGAAAAATGTTTTAAATTGTCATGTTTTAACAACGATTCTTTCATTATGCAGCGCGTACAATTTTGCGAAAGCTGCTGCAAACCGTACGCTTTACAAGGCTCCGGAAAACCAGTTGGACAACGTATTCCAAAGTTGTTGGATTGCTCGCATACGTTTTGCCATGGTTGTGTCACCAAACTTTCTGGATCAAACTCGCGTGGTGTTAAATGCCCAACTTGCGAAGAGCAAACTCTGCTGTCAGGCGGTAAGCAAAGCATTAAAGATTTACCTACTAATTTGTACATTCTCGGTATTTTGATCAACAATGTCAGGGCAAATATTGAAAAGGACATTTCAAAAGGAGAACTGACAGATTTTGAACTGGAGAAAAGTTGTGTTATTGCTAATTCTTGTGGGGGGGCAACCGTTGCCAGGGGGGTGACAGCTGGGGAAGGGTCCCCCAGAGAAGAAACTGTGGAAACTTGTGAAGAATGTTGCACAAATGCAGCTGTTAGCCAATGTAAGAAGTGTGAAGCTATATTTTGCGAGAGCTGCTTTAACACTGTACACTCTTCATCTCGGACACTGCGCTTGCATGAAGCTACCCCTATTGAATTTGTCTGTCAAACTGGAGGGTTGATTCAGACCTGTGAGATTCACGAGGGGAAAGAGCTAGAGTTTTATGACCAAACAGACAAAAAACTCATATGCTCATTATGTATAGTAACCCCCCATTACCAAAGCCTTGAAATAGTTCCTGTCCATATGTTGACTGATGAGATTACAGAAAAGCTCAAAGAAAGCCTTCAAAAAGTTAAGAGTGTTGATGCGCAATTGAGAAAGTCTAAAGGAATGCTCATGTCACAGTTGCCAAAAATTAAAACTGAGTTCAGTGAGACTGTGCAGAATATTCAACAGCATTTCCAAGATTTGCATACAAAGTTGCAAGCAAGAGAAGTGAACCTTATCAAAGAGGTGAGAGGTGCATTTTGTAACCAAAGTTTCCAGGTTGATGTAGCCAATGAAATTGATCAACGTAGTGAGGAACTTTCTAAGTTGATTAAGGAAGTTACTGTGGCTCTTTCAACCCCATCAATGGTCATGGAAAATGGTGAAACCCTTTTGTCTAGAATGGTTAACTTGGAGGATGTTGCTTGCATACTCTCTGACTCATTCATGCAAGATCGTATTAAGATTTCTTACCCCAGAGACTTTCAAGACACATTGAAATCCTATGGGACCATTATTCCTGAAAGCTGTGATGTAAAGCTTAAAAGAATTTCTGAGCAACCCAATGAAATAATTCATGAAAACAATGCCCTTGAAGCAGCTGCTCCTACAAATGAAAAGTCTGAAGATGCATCTTCTTCAAACGCATCACAAACTGGTGGTGGTTCTGCTATACTTACTATGCCATCTCGTCAAAATTTAGTCAACGTTTCACACATTGTTACCCCCTGTAACTTTTACATACAGCATGTTGCTGATCAAGATAAACTAAATAGTCTTATGGATGGCATTCACAATCACTGCGAAAGAGCTAAGGGTAGTAATGATGCTGTCAGGACCACCAAAGTTGGAGATCTTGTTTGTGCGAAGGGTGATGGTGATGAGTGGTGGTACCGTGCCAGAATTATTGGTGAAGAACAGCAGGCAAGTGTACCAAAAGGCCGTAGCCATCCTATACCGAAAGTTAAGGTTTGCTTCATTGATTATGGCAACACAGCAATGGTGCCTCTCAATAGGCTTCGCAAGATACCATCCAAGTTCATTGATCTTCCAGAACTTGCTACTAACTGTTCATTGGTAGATATTGTTCCCCCTGGAAAGTGCAATACCTGGCCTAATGAGTCCATTAAAGCATTTGGCAGCATGATTCGTGACAAACACCTCCTTATGGCTGTTGTGAGGAAAAGTGGTGGACAGCTCATTGTTGATTTGAAGAGTCCAGATCAAGATGGAAGCATTGCAGGTGACAAGCCTGCATCAGTTCGAGATGCACTTGTTTTCCTTGAAGTTGCAAACTTCACTAGTCCAGCGTCAGTGCAAAACCCTGAGGTTGCATTCCCAGTTCGTACCTACCCAAAAGTCACATTGCCTGAGGAAGGGGCGAGTCTACAAGTGACAGTTGCCGAGGCTCAGTCTCCTGAGGATATTTATGTGGTTAAATATGATGAAAAAGAGTACGAAAAAATGCTGATTATCCAACAACAGATGATGGATGTTTATAACTCAATGAATGGTGATCAGTGGCAGATAGGATGGCCATACAAAGATATGGTTTGTGCTGCAAAGTACAGCAACGATCAGAATTGGTACCGTGCTTTGGTTACAGATGTTTCCTCTGACAAGCATGTGCAAGTGTTCTTTGTTGACTTTGGCAATTCTGAAGAGTTGCCATTCAACAAGATTCGTCGTCTTCCAGATCATCTTGCAAAGCTGCCAGGACAAGCGATGAGATGTCGTTTGGCAATGGTCGAACCTGTCAATCCAGAGGAAGGTTGGTTGAGTGAATGCAAAGACTTCCTGTATGAGAATTGTTTCCAACATCCATACCAAATGAAAGTCCTTGAAGTTGAAGCGCATGGTGATCAGCCCATGTCTGTTGTTTTGTATCTTCCACAACCCCATCAGACGTCCCTGAACCAATTGTTGGTCGTTAATTCACATGCAGTGTTGTCTTCATCAGCTGATTCCGCATCCCTCGAGACGGCAGATGTGGTTGAACCATCTTCACCAGCCAGCAATGCTAGTACAAGAATGAGCGAGACAGATACTGATGCTGCAATCATTGGAACTGAGGGGGGAAGATTACTTTATCCACAACGGTTATCATACAAACCAGTTGATATGCCAGAGGGCAACCAATTCCAGTTTCTGGTAACATTTGTTGAAAAGGATTGTATAATATCGGGCGTTCAGCCTGATAAACGTGATAATTCCCTGGCAGATTTAATGTTGCATATGCGAAACACGTGTAAAGACACAGATGACCCACCAGTCACCCAAGATCAGTTGTTCTTCAATCAACCTTGCTGTGCCAAGTATTCCGATGACAATCACTGGTATCGAGCACAAGTAATTGGTTTCCCCGCGCCATCCACAGTGTTGCTGGATTATGTTGATTTTGGTAACAAAGAGGAAGTACCGCTTGAAAATATCAGTCTTAAGGGAGCATTTCTGGATATACCGAAGCAGTGTATCTCGATTCAGCTCGAAGGTCTGCCTAGAACACCGGTTGAACAAGAGAAAGTTTCCAAGTTACTTGAAGGATTGTTGGTTGGTCAGACGTGTAAAGCAGCGAGGTCAGCAAATGTTGTCGTAGATGGCGTTGTCAACATTGAACATTTGACATTGCCTGATGGACGAGACGTTGTTGCCACTGCCAGAGAGATGATGTCTAAACAGAATCCTGACGAACTTGAGGAAAAGCCTGTTTTAAGTCAGTCACGCAAGCAGCAAACCCATTTGGAGAGTCCACAAAGTGAAAGAAGAATGAAAAGGAGAGAGAATCCTCGTTTAGCAAGATCGATACTTGCGGATACTGTTCTTCCTGCCGAGGGCGTACCGTTTGATGTTGGCGTCACCCAAATCAACTCGAAAAATGTTGTTTTTCTGCAAAGAGAAGTTCCATGCGAAGACAGACCTAAGTTGGCTGACGGCTTTGATCCTACTCATGTAGTCGCTTGTAATCACATACAACAGCTGCTGAGCATGTCTAACAGGATCAACCTGAAGAACTATTTTAATGGTAAACCAGGTCTCGATAAAGTTTGGCCCAACATGTTGTGTTGCGCGAGATACACAGAGGATGATTTGTGGTATCGAGCTCAGATTATTCGTGTCCTGTCGAATGTTCAGGTACAAGCTCGTGTGCTTTACGTTGATTATGGAACATCGGAGGTAATCGGATTGGACAGAATGAAGCCATTCCCAGCTGAGTTGGCAGCACTCCCAAAACAAGCGTTCAAATGCACTGTCGTCGGATTGGGTGACGAAAATTATGAAATTGGTGATCACAGCTGTGGTGCTGGTAATGATGAAGATGATGGCGATGACAGTGATGATGATGACATCAACTTATTGGCTAATGCAGTGGTTGGTAAAAAGCTAATCTGCAAAGTTGTTAGCTTTGGACCACCAGTTGTTGTCGAACTGTATGAGAGAGTGCTTATCGATGAGTCGTATCAGGATATACCGATCAGCCAAACACTATCAATGCTTGATGATGTGACTTCTGATCGCGACAGTGATGTTATTGAGGAGACTCAGGAAAGCGTGGAGCTCAATGAAAATGAGGAAAAGATTGCAGAAGCTGCAAAAGATGAATGTGAGGATGACTTCACCGTCGATGTTAACCCGGAGGGTGATTGGTATTCGGAATGCGAAGAATCGTTTGTCAAATATGATCGCGAGGGAATGGCGACTCGGCCGCAGCTATTGACACCAGCTCAGTTCTTTTTGAAGAAGGAAGGTAATACGGTGGAGAATGAGGAGAAATCTGTCGAGGTTGAAGAAGAATCTGAAGTTGATTGAACATGGACGAGGCAAATATTGCCTTATTAAACAGTCCAAGATTCTTTGAATTGTTCGCTTGTTGACATCACGTTTCGATGTGTTAGTGTGTAATGGAACTTTGTTTTGTTCTTTTGTTTCGTTTTGGAAACATTGTTGGGATGTATGTCGCACTTCCGACAACCAAGGTGACATTTTTCCTTGGATATTAGTTGTTAAAAAAATTGTTTTTGTCATGAAGTTCAGGAAGAATAGCCATCCTGGCGAGGCCATTTGCAAAAAAAAATTCGAAACAGCGTGTCTAGTTCTTGGAATGTTTGGATCGAAATCAATTCAATTTGTGAATAGGGATTATTTTCGGCCACCGTTGTTTCTCATCTTCACTTTCGTTATGATAACTCCACACCTGGGCTGCTCACCGTTTATTCTGGGGAATCGGAAATTCCGGTTGCAAAAGAAAATGGTACAAGGAATTTCAATCGGAAATTTCCGAACTGTTCGATCGAAATTGCTTGTACCATTTGATTTTCTGACCAAAATTGCTAATTTCCCAAGGTAAATGGTAAGCACTCCTGACCTCATCATGTGTATATTTGACGATGATGTAAAAATCATTCCTGTCAATAAAAAGTGTTTTAACTGAAGGCCTGCGCACACCAGAGCTATGTGCTTAGCAAAAAGTCATTCGTGGCCATTGGCGTAAGCCAGTTGTTCTCGTGTGCGGGTGACTTTCCCGGCGACTTTAGTCATTCGTGCCAAAAGTAGCTGGAAAAGTAGCTCGCACAGGAGAACAACTGGCTTACGCCAATGGCCACGAATGACTTTTTGCTAAGCACTGTAGCTCTAGTGTGCACCGGCCTTAAGGTAAGACAAAACTTTTTACCCTTTACCGAAGCGTGAAAGCTTTCCCGATACCTTATTCGGCGTAATGTTTATTTATATTTTAAAAAGCTACTGGGCCCAGTCCTTAGTTAAATCCCATACGCGAGGAAGATAATTGCAGACGAGGTTAAATTTCATCGTGAATTGCGAAAAAAAAATGACCCAAGCTTTTCATAAATTGTTTCATTAATTGTTTTGCAAATGGCCTACAAATAAAAATTGTTTGGTTAATGGATATTTAGTGAGACATTGCACTAGTGGCTATTCATATGTTGTTATTTATGTGTTTGTTTAAAGACCAATTAGCGCTAAATCTGGTTGAACTCTTGTAAATTAAATTTCTTTTGAACTGCATACAAATTTTTTGAGCGTTTTCAAAATCGTTTTGTGTTGTTTATCGTTTTGGCGCACTGTTTACACGACCAAAATAGAAAATTTGCTCAATACATCAAGGTGGAAGTCAAGTTAAGTCTGTGCATGGGTTCTCTTCAGTCGTAATAATGTTAGGTCCTCAGATAAAAGTTTTGCCCAAATTTCTCATGTTTTGAATTTTTCTCATCAAAAACACTAGTTCATATTTGTTTAAAGGTATAGCGAACCTAAATATTGTAAGATATCCAGACAAAACAACGTGTATTAAAAGTTCAAACTGTGAACAAACACAATACGGACTTGACTTCCACTTTAATTAACTTTAGTTGAGAAACGAAAATGAAAACGCTCAATATCATATTGTGTGCACATACTGTAGCCTAGATTGACACTATTAGAAAGTTTGATTTGAAACTAACCGTGCTTTGAACAACCGGCCAAGAAGGTATATATAAAGTATAAAGGTATTATAAAAAACAAATGTTATATAGCTATATTGAAGATTTAGACTTATTAGAAATGAATGCATCCAGTTTAGCTTTATGTATTTTTGGTTTGAGGTTTACAGGACTACGCTTCCAGGGATCTTTTGATTAAATTTACAAATATATTTGTGAACTCTTGCGCATGCCTTGGGCGTAAATTCAGGGCAGCACTTGCAAAACGAGTGGTAATTTTATTGGTACGTGTATGAGTATGTAGTGAGTCACGTGACACACGAATATTAAACCCGATGAACTCTATAAAAACTGGAACGATAACTGACATGCAGTTATATCAAGGTTAAGCTAACCGCCATCTTTTAAGTCAATTTTTGTCGGAGCGATCGTCGACCGTGAAGTCAAGAAAAGAAGTGGACTGGCACTGGTTCCGATTCGGTGACCGAGTTACCGTTCCAGTTCACATAGAGTCCATTGGCCATACCATAATTATCCCAAAATGTGTTTTATCATAGAAATAAATCATCACAAACCCTTGAACAGGAACAGCAAGTTGAACCGTTATAATTTTCGTTACATAAAGTCGGTCATGCACTCATAAAAGATCATTGATTTCTCATGTTACAATAAAATATTACAAGGTTGGCAAGTATTCATTATTTGGAAATTTTGTCTAATCCATTATCAGCGGACGTTTGCTAGAGTCAATTTGCTACCTTCTATAGTGTAATATAAGTTTCAAACCTCTAGATCTGCAAACCCCATAAGTTGTTATTTCACGAAGCGACTTTATGCTCGCCGAACTAAACATGCTTTCCTTCAGGAAAAGTTCACAAAGTCCACAATGTTCGTCTTGCAATGCTTCACATAGCACGGGAATGCAACGATCTGTTAATGAACAATGAGACATATCCAACTTCGCTAGCTTACAACGCTCGTTTGTCAAAGCACGTTCGCATAACACCCGCAAACCTTCGTCACTTATCCCTTTATCACTTCCTATCGACAAATCGGTAAGTTTACAACGTTCATGTTGCAACGTCGTACACAGAATGGGTATACACTGATCCGTCAATGAGCACCAGGACAGGTTCAACTTTGTAACTTTACAATTCTCCTTTGTTAAGGCTTGTCCGCACAACGTACGCAAACCTTCGTCGCTTAAACCAATATTATATCCAAGTGACAAATCAGTAAGTTTGCACTGCTCATCCTGTAATGCCTGACATAGCTCTGGTATACATTGATCTGCTATCGAGCACCGAGCCAGGTTCAACTTCACAAGTTTACAATGATCTCTTGTTAAAGCATATTCACACAGCAAACGTAAACCTTCCCGACCGACCCCTTTATTATGCGCGAGTGACAAAACAGCCAATTTACAATGCTTATCTTGCAAAGTTCTGCAAAGCTCGGGTACGCATCGGTATGTCAGTGAACATCCTGACAAGTCCAAGTTTGTGAGCTTGCAATGCTTTTCTGCCAAAGCTTTTTGGCACAACACAAGCAAGCCCTGATCAGTTATATTCTTATTATAAGCGAGCGACAAAACAGCCAGGTTGCAACGTTCGTCTCCTAGTAGTCCACACAGTGAGAGTATACATCCATCAGTCAACGAACACCCGCCAAGGTTCAGCTCAGTAAGCCTGAACAACCTATGACGAATCAGAGCATTGCACAAAACTCTTACACCTTCATCAAGTATTTCATTCCCATTCAAATCAAGGCATCTGAGTTCTGGGCAAAGCGTGCTGTCCAGGACCTTACAAAGCACGGATATTCCATATGAATTTATTTTTGCACTCGATAGGTGTAGTTTTTCAAGAGAATTTGCGTATCTGTTTTTAAATAACTCGCAGATGATTAACAGACCTTCGTTGTTTATACGCACACGTTCAAGTTTCAACTTTGTAAGCAGAGTATGTTTGTGCCTTATTGTGCACTTCGAGTTCATTACTGCTTTAACAAGTTTCTCCGTTGCCAAATGGTGGCTGAATGCTCTGCCTTTTAGCACAAGTTGCTCTATGCATTTTTGCTGTAGCAATTTCGTAAGTTCAAGATAACATTCCTCGCTCAAAAACGTGAGACCCAAGTCTATTTTGACTGATTTCTTTATGTGCTTCCATACATAAGTCACAGCTGAACAGTCGTTTGATGATATATTTGGGGATTGTGGAATTTTTAGACTCACAATGTCATTCAGAGGACTTGTTTCACAGACCTCTTCAAGAATGTCTTCATCAGCTAACTCCCTTAAACATTTTATAGCAAACAATGATTGTTTAAGGTTCACTTCGCCATCATCAACAACGATGCTTTTCGAAAAGGCCAAAACACAATCTTTGTAAAGATTACTTTCACACATTTTCATTTTCCTACCCAAAATGCCAGCAATAAATTGAAGTACCAACTGCCATTTACCAAATTCAATATGAGAAATAATAAAGCTCTTTACTTCTTCGGGGGTGAATACCTTAATCACATGCATCGCAGCAAGAAATTCTTGGATAGTCAAATGAATGAAACAAAATTGCTCTTCGATTGGGTGAATAGGATTATATAAACTGTTCAACAACCCAGAATGTTCCATATGTTGATCAACTGCTTCCCTCTCGAAAACTAGTTGCCCATGCACAATTCCATTGTATGCTAATAATTGAAGTTTACCCATTGCTTTCTCAGAAGACTGACCATCTAATTTTCTACAGTGATGCTTACCCAAATAGATAATGGCTGCCTGATAAAGTTCAGTTAGTGTTTTTGGAAGAACACTTGTTTCACTCTGAGGGACAGTGAAACATTCAAGCAGGATCGAAGAGACGATTAAGCAATTTGCAGGTATGTAACATAAACTTAACAAGTCTGACGTGGATTTTATGTGGCTCCATATCTTTTGTTTCATTTCATCCGGATTTAGATCGCCTGTGTTTTGAATGTCACAAAATCGTTTGATATATTCTTCAATTTTTTCTGGGGTGAAACCAATGATCTCAACAGTTCTATCAAATTTGAACCTGGAGAAAAGCTCACTTGCAGTTGGGCGACTCGTTACGAGAACGGTTGCCCCATGCAACAAGTTCCCAGAAATTAGTTTAATAAACAGGGAAAATGCAGACATGCAAATATCAGGATCATTTGGAGGTTGTAAACTATCTAAGCATTCAATGCCACTGGCAAATTCATCCAAGCCATCAAAAACAAAAATAGCCTTTTCTGGATCTTTTGTGATATGTTCATATATTTTTTCAAATTTTTCATCGGTAAGTCCTGTCCCAAGACGAAGAAAAGTCTTAAGAGTTAGGTTTTTTAGTTCCTTCAAATCAAACCATCTAAATTTTAAAAAGAAGGCAATCTTGCCGCTATAATCGTCAATTCCACTAGCCCAATCATGTATAATTTTTTCAGTCAGAACAGTTTTTCCTATACCAGGACGACCGACAACCAGGATTGTGCGAGGAATCATTCCCCTTGTATCTTTGTTGGGAGAAAATAAATCACTTGCCTTTTCTAGACATATGGAATAATGAGGGACTTTCATATAAACATTAAGCGTTTCCTGACGTCTCATGTCTCTTGAAAACTTGTGGGGTGCTCGTTCAGTGTGAATAACAAGGTTTATATACAACATATCTAAGGCGGGCTGCAGAACTTGTCTTTTATAAAATTCTACGCATTCCTCCAAGCATTTTGGTTTAGGCGATTTTAGCTGTCCCAACAGAAAGGCCGTAATGAAATGAATATCAGCACCCCAATCAACTCTACATTTGCAGTTGGGTAGCCGCTGTAATACGCGGACCATTTCTACAAGCATTGTTAACGCAAAACCTGTATTTAATACAGAAACGAAGAATGATAATAATTTCTTTTGAGGTGCACTCGGATTCTCGCATGTAATGGGTGTGCTGGCATTGAAAGGACTTGGCGGGAAAGTGCAGTTGTACTCGAAGTCAAAACCATTTGGAAAGAACACTGCATATTGTAGGATGGTAAATAGCATTCCGGTGAGAAAACGGATGGCTAGGTGAGAAAAGTAGCAGTAAAAAACATTAAGTTTGTTGTGTACCTGATTCTCCGGGATCGCTGCTTCGCGTGCATTTAGTGTTCCAGTTTGTCTGGTATTTAAACTCTGTAAATCAAAGTCCACAATCCGACTTCGCACAGCGAGAGAGTAGCCAACAGCCACAATAATCGGGAACCAAATACTCAGCATTACAAACCAAGATAATGAAAGTGGAGAATTGTATTCTTGTTGATATCTTGAGTAACATGATTTATCGACTTGCATCTTGTAGGCCGCTGAACTTTCAGACGCCACACGACAAGTAAACCTCTCAGCCTCCCCTTCTCTCGAAGCAATAACAAAACCTGTAAATGCCAGACCATATAGCAAATGAACAATCGACCATGCGTATGCCCAAGTACTGAATGTTTCCCGCTTGAGATAACCCTTCGCTGCGTCTATCATGACGATATTTCGAAGGAGATATTGTATTTATTGGGTTGCTTTTGTTTCATGTTTTGTGAAATCGAGTCATATGACATATTATGACGTGCAAAAGCAATCTATATTACTATATATATGCATGCTAATCTATAGATGCGCCAGGCGGAAATATCGAATTCGTATAAATACATTGCATAATATATAGCAGCTAATAAGCATAAGGCACGTTTTAAGGGTCCGTTCGATCCAGCTCTGTCGGATCCAATTTACTTCTGGCGTATGGAATGTAGTTTGTTGTTAATAAAGCAGTACTAGCTGCGCAGGGTGGCAAGTTTTGTAATTTTTAATTATTTGCTTATTTAGGCAAAATCGATCCTTTATGTCATCGTCTGTGTAAGATACACTGTTATTTTCAGGGTGTTATTTTAACACCAAAAACAGGGGTTACGAGATTTAATCGAAAATAATCCTTTTTTTGGGGTTACAAATAACACCGTTTCTGGAGTTAAATTTTAATCCCCATTTTGGGGTTACATTTAACTCCCATTTTGGGGTTAAAATAACCCCGTTTTCAGGATCCCGCTATAATACCCGGAAAGAAATAAAGAATCATACAAAAATTTGAGCAAAATTTTATTACTTTATATCCAATCTACAATATTTACAACATAAATACAACTTCATATTAAAGTTTCCTGATAAATCATCAGAAATCTAAACTTTTTTCTTTTAAAGAACAAACAAATGCATTGTAAAAACTTTACAAATTATATCCTAAGGTAGGCAACTTCAATCACAATATCGAGATGTACACATGAAAACAATCCGAAAATACGTCAATTAATACCTAAAACTAATCTAAAATAACAAGTGAAATGAAATCTACAATATTTTTACTTTATACTTCCTATGTTTTAACTTTGAAAACAAGTTATAGAAGCGAGAAAAATGCGAAAAGTTTTTGATATTTTACTTATTTTTGGAATAGGCCGATGCTGGACCCGCGCTGTAGACTTTTAAGAACGTTTGAAAATGACGAATTCGTAACCTCATTGGCTGTTTTTTATTCTTGCTGTTGTGACAGCCAATGAGATTACGAATTCGTCATTTTCAAACGTCAACATGCAGCGCGGGTCCAGCAACGGCCCATTTAAAAAATGAGTAAAATATCAAAAACTTCGCATTTTCCTCGCTTCTATAACTTGTTTTCAAAGTTAAAACGTAGGCAGTATATAGTAAAAATATTGTAGATTTCATTTCAACTGTTATTTTAGATTAGTTTTAGGTATTAATTGACGTATTTTCGGATTGTTTTCATGTGTACATCTCGATATTGTGATTGAAGTTGCCTACGTTAGGATATATTATACTATATATAGGATATATTATACTATATATAATACCTTTTCATCCTATTATTAAATATATTTAATTCATATATAAGTCCTTATTTTCCTTTAGACTATGAGAATATGAAAAATGTTTTTCATGTCTACTGTTCCATATCAAGATATTTTTAGCGACCTACATTAATAGTTTTGTATTGAATTATTTTGTCGACACTTGCTGAAGGTTTTCTGTTGAAATATTGAAAATATATTACACACCAGCGCAATTGTGTTTGTATCCTGGATGGCTGAGCAACTGTACACTTTCTTCCAACAGAGAATTACAGACAATTTAGCTCACGAACTGCAGTTTAATTTATATCCACAATCGGCAGGTAAACAGTCGCACTCCGAGAGGCATGAAAATGATATTCAAGTACGTACATTGCCGTTTTTAACTGCATACAGCAAATCCGCCAACCTTTCTTTCACTTTTCCTCGTTCAATTCGGTTTTAGTCGTAATTTATCTTTAAAAATACAGGCAATTCTCCCGTGGAACCAGTAGTGCTTGCGAAGGTTTTGAAAAATAGCTCGTTTTGCATGATTGCATCAGCTTGATCACGTGGTATAATGTACTTATTTTAACCCCCAAAATGGTGTTACATTGCGCGTAACCCCCTTACGTGGTGTTATTTTAAGTCCAACTATGGAGTTATTAAGCTGGAATTTTGTAACTCCCCTATTACACCCCTAGAATCCCTTAAAAGTGGTGTTAAAATAACACCCTGAAAATAACAGTGTAGTAAGAATGTGACGTAGTACGATATCTTCCGAGGACTGAAGGTGGTGTTTCCATTTAATAGGCAAGGTATGGGGATACCTATTGTTCCATTTTCACTCGTTTTTCAATTTTAGAAAATGTAATTACTTGTAGCGGAAGCATTACTACAATTTCGCTGTGCGTTTTACTCAAGTATTTTGTCTTTAACACTAAAATCTCTTCAAAAGTTGAAATCATGTTGTGCTTTGTTATACAACATTTTGGGCTATATTTTTCCGTATCTTTCTTGCACTATAAAACTAACAAAAGTGCTGATTTCTTATCACTCCTCGAGTGCCTATTTTTATGCTAGATTCGCTCGGATGCACATAAAACAGCCCCACCTGGCTTTAATAATTTCCAAATTTATTCCTGGAGGGGGCAATCTAGCAAGACTTGAACAGCTTTGCTTATAAGATATTCATATATGGTCACACAGGTATACTGCGTTGGCTAAAATCCGTCCTTATACGTCGCACGTCGATTGAGTTGTACATCGCACACGCTCCTGTTAGCAGAACGGAACATAGCTACATATATGCATGAAACGCGAGGTAAAAAAACAAGATTATATTATTGTGAGGCAAAATAAAGTTTTATATAAGCTGTCGCAGTACAAACCAATATCAATTGTTCCCCGCGGAAAGATATACTGAAATATATAGTTTCACTCTAAGTTACTTAAATATTATACATATACACTTTATGGTATTTCAGCGTTTTTCAGTCACTATATAATGAACACGTTTTCAAGTGGACGACGATGTTTTTAATTTTGAATATAGAAAGGATGATATTTATTATGTTCTGAAATTGACAATTCTTGAAATTTTCTTTTAATATACGCTTCAATCTATTAGTACCACGTCATTCATTGACGTCATGTACCAACAACCTTATCATGATCATTTCAATATATTAACTTATTGCATGACTAAACAGAACTCAAGTATATTCGACAAGTTTAATATATTACTTGCAGGCGCCTGAAGTGCATCGTATAGTTCAAAATACTGTTGTATACAATCTATTTAACAATCTCAATCCTTTTGTAGCCTAGTAACATACAAACTAAAAGTTATCACATAGATTATATTATATTCCTTAACGTATCTACCAAATACTTCTTTTCTTTCGTAATATGAAAAACAATTTTTTAAACCCAGTGTTGATATGTTTTTAATTGAAATTTTAACTTTTTGACTTTTTTAATTTTTACAATTATTTTTACAAAACGTTCCGACTTCGGAAATTTCGAAAAACGTCTCGGAAAAGTCGAAAGTCGCGTTTCAACGGTTTTCGAATGTAATATAAAATGAGTTCACGAGTATTAGTTTTAGAGTGCTGTAGATAATAAAAGCTTTAAAGCCTGATTCCGCGGGGGAAATTTTTAAGGGAAATACAAAATATTTCGCCGGCTCCTTTTAAATTGAGAGCAAATTTATTTATTTAAGTGCTTAAGATTCAAAAGGAGTAAGCAAAATTTTTCGCATTTTACTGAGAAAAAGCGGCCGTGGAATTAGGCCCTTACTTTAATAACAGATGCATGTTATTAGGCTGGCCTAAACCTCGAAAATAATAATTCATTCATATAAATCTAGCTCAGAAAATATTTTAATTTTGGATTAATAACATAAAAAGATCTGAACTAGCTACATTGGTATGCCGAAAAAAACGTTAGATTTCAGTTTTGCCGGTGCACATGACTATTTGGAAGAGGTGTTTGAAAGCTTTTCTGTATGTTTGATCCAGCCAAGCATAAATTATTGGATTGCAGAGACTGTTAGACTTGTGGAGTATGCTTATTGTCATTGCAATTATTCTCAAACGAAGCCAGTATTTTAATGACCTGTTATCGCTTTGGTTAAAATTTGGGTAATAAAAGTACAAAAAATACCAAATAAAGTTTGAACCGCCGCAAAATATGAACACTCCTACGACAAGCAAAAGCATTTTAATTACTTTTAAATCATGGCGAAGAGCAGTTCGTTGATTATAAACATTGGTAGCTTGGCCCAGTCCACCAGTTTGTAGCACTTTTTTCCGTTCACGAGCAATAGATAAAATGCGAGAGTACGTAACCAGTATGATTACGGTTGGCGGAAAAAACCCGACAACGATGTAAACGATCAAAATTCTTTTAAACGTGGTCTCGTCGCGCAAGATCAGAGTTTCGTCCGATGCTGAATGAGGAGTGGTGATGAAGGTTGCGCTTGCAATTATGAACATGAAATTAGCAAAAATTATTTTTAAACATTTTGAGGTTGTCATTCGTGATTTATACTGAAGAGGTTTGCTGATTTTAAGATATCGGTCAAAAGTGATGATCATTAACATGGACATAGATAGCCCATACGAGAAGAATCCTATCCATAATTTGAAGCGGAAGAGATGAGCGGAAAATCTCTCTTCTTTCTCTTCCAGATTTAACTCGTGTACGCGCAATGGCATTACAACTAAACCAACAAAGAGATGAGCGACAGCCAGACAAGCGACGAAATATTTATTTGGTTGATGAAGAATTTTTTCTCTCCAGGTTGCGATTAAAACCAACGCGTTAGCCAAAATTGTGAAAGTAGCGATAAAGATGATTATAATTTTTTCTGTTAGTCTCAGCTGGTCGATGGATTCCATAAATTCTAAATATTCACTCGCTGCTAGATTTGTATCATTAAACATCGCACTTGTGTTGTTATACATCGCACACGCTCCTGTTAGTAGAAAAGAGAATATAGCTACATATATGCATGAAACGCGAGGTAAAAAAAAAGATTATATTATTGTGAGGCAAAATAAAGTTATATATATAAGCTGCCGCAGTACAAACCAATATTAATTGTTTCCCCCGCAAAGATATACTAAAATATATGGTTTTACGCTAATTAAGTTACTAAATTAAAATATTATACGTACACTTTATGGTATTTCAATGTTTTTCAGTAACTATATAATAAATACGTTTTCCAGTGCCAGTGGACGACGATGTTTTTAATTTTAAATAGAAAGGATTTATATTTATTATGTTCTGAAATTGACAGTCTGGAAATTTTCTTTTGATATATAGCTACGCTTCAATCCATTAGTACCACGTCAAAATTATATACAGTATATGTTTCGATCATAGTCTTACTTTCTCGCTGTTAAATGATTCCCCGTGTGGTTTGTGATGTTTGTCGATCTTCTCTTCTCTGTATTTTTGTTTTCCAAGCGCGCCTTCAAGAAGCGGCATTATAAATTTTGTTCTTTCGGAGTTATTGATCTGTTATTAATCATGCTAGTATGTAAATAAGTCTTTCGGAGGCCTTTTTGAGTTCATTTATTACTAACAACTTTTAATATATCATGATCATTTCAATATATTAACTTATTGCATGACTAAACAGAACTCAAGTATACTCGACAAGTTTAATATATTACTTGCAGGCGCCTGAAGTGCATCGTAGAGTTCAAAATATTGCTGTATACAACCTATTTAACAATCTCAATCCCTTTGTAGCCTAGTAACATAAAAACTAGAAGTTATCACATAGATTATATTATATTTCTAAACGTATCTACCAAATACTTCCTTTCTTTCGTAATTTGAAAAACGTTTTTTTAAACCCAGTGTTGATATGTTTTTTAATTTAAACTTTAACTTTTTAACTTGTTTTAACTTTTACAATTAATTTTCACAAAACGTTCCGACTTCAAAAATGTTCGGTTCAATTTTGGCAATCAAGTTAATATGGGCGGAACTTTTTAACACTAATTGACGCAACAGAAAATCCAAAATCCATCAACCTAACCGAATAAACGTTTCGAAAAAGTCGAACGTCGCGTTACAACGAATGTAATATAAAATGAGTTCACGAGTATTAGTTTTTGGGTGCTGTAGATAATTAAACCTTTTAAGCCTGATTCTGCGAGCAAAATTTTAAGCGAAATACGAAATATTTCGCCGTGGTTGCAATTGAAAAGGAGTAAGCGAAATTTTTCGCATTTTACTGAGAGAAAGGGCCCGTGAAATTATAGGCGCTTATTCTAATAACAGATGCACGTTATTAGGCTGGCTTAAGCCTCGATAATAATAATTCGTGCATAAATTTAGCTCAGAAAATATTTTAATTTTTCGTTAGGAACACTGATAAAAAGATCTGAACTAGCTACATTGGTATGCCGAAAAAAACTTTAGACGTCAGTTTTGGCGGTGCGCATCATTATTTGGAAGAGGTGTTTGAAAGCTTTTCTGTATGTTTGATCCAGCCAAGCATAAATTATTGGATTGCAGAGACTGTTAGACTTGTGGAGTATGCCTATTGTCGTTGCAATTATTCTCAAACGAAGCCAGTAGTTGAATGACCTGTTATCGCTTTGTTTAAAATTTGGGTAGTAAAGGTACAAAAAATTCCAAATAAAGTGTAAACCGCAGCAAAATATGAACACTCCTACGACAAGCAACAGCATTTTAACTACTTTTAAATCTTGACGAAGAGCAGTTCGTTGATTATAAACATTGGTAGCTTGGCCCAGTCCACCAGTTTGTAGCATTTTGTGCCGTTGACGAGCAATAGATAAAATACGAGAGTACGTAACCAGTATGATTACGGTTGGGGAAAAAAAGCCGACAACGATGAAAACGATCATAATTCCTTTAAACGTGGTCTCGTCGCGCATGATCAGAGTTTCGTCCGATGCTGAATGAGGAGTGTAGATCAGGCTCTTTTCGTATGAAAAATCCATATTTCCCTTTTCACAAGTAGGCCTCGTGCAGGCGGGGAATTGGGAATAGAACCGTGACCTCAAACTCTGCTATGAAGTGTGCTATTGTTATACAGAAATAATAATATATATAAAAGTATTACTTGACTATGATTGATTGCAGATTTCAATGCAGTTAATCCTAAACATGCAACAATGCAAAAATCTGTATCACAGTGCAAAAATCTGTAATCAGAGTAGTGCAATTTTCTGTTATAACAGTGCAATTTTTTTGTAATCACTGATAACAAATCAACTTATATTGTGAAATTCATGAATAATTATATAACATAACTGACGCTTCGGACTCGTGCTATTTTGAAGTCTTTGAACTCACTCGTACATGTTATATCCAAATTGCACTCGAAACCATGCTATTACCTATATTTAATATACAATCTTCGTGCATTGGCCGAAATCTAATCACACAATTGGTCAAAATCAATCACGTGGTTTCTTGTTGCCTAGCGACAGATCATGAAAATCATGGTTTATTCAAAAATGACAGCCTGCAACGAGGCTTAGATCTTCAATGCAGCAATCAAAGTATATTAAAAGTGTTAGAGACTTTATGTTCGTGTTTTGTTTACTTGCTGGACATACAAAGAGCTCGAAATACTCGAAATTTCTCGTTCATTGTATGGTCAGCGCGTGCGTTTATTTGTCAACGAAACACTCACAACAGTCTCTAAACCTTAAATATACTAACCAGCTGATCTGAGATAATGACGTCATAAGATGCCTCGAAGTTATTATCATCATAATTTATTATTATGGTGGTATATAAAGAGCACGAAATTAAAATTTTAATTTACAATTGACTGAAAAACGAATACGTTTCTGAATAGAAATAATTTATAGAATTTCACTCAAAATGCCGAAATCATGAAATTATGAAAATGATAATTGTCGATAATCTGGCTTATGTTTGATTCATTTTTGAAATCAGTTCAAATCGAAATGGTGAATTGGACAAATTGGCTATTATTTACTTCATCTGTTCCCCGGGAGTTGTAACTGAATTGTATTTAATTAATTAAATACAAATACAATTGTGAATTGTATTTGGTTGGCCATGTTGCTGTACTCTTGGGTTTTCGCGACAGACGAGTTGATGAAACAGGTGTTTAAAGGCTTTTCTGTACGTTTGATCAAGCCACGCATAAATCATTGGATTACATAGACTGTTAAACAGAGGAAGTATAACAATTGCTGTCTGGATTTTTCTTAAACGAAACCAATAGCTTAACGAGGTGTTATTATAATCAATAAAACGTCTATAGTAAAGATACAGCAACCACCAAATAAAAAACGGACCCCAGCAAATTATAAACAGACCCACGACGAGAAAAAGCATTCTAATCACTTTCAAATCTTGGCGAAAGGCAGTTCGCTGATCCAGTACGTTGAACGTTTCGCCCAGTCCGCCATTTCGCAGTCTTTTTTGTCGTTTGTGAGCCACGGTGAAGATGAGAACGTACATAATTAGCATGATTATCGTGGGTACGAAAAACGAGACTATTGCTAATATGGTCTGGGTTTCTTTTACTTGCTTCTGAATGCCAGCCGAGAGTTGTGTTGTGTCGGACCCGGAACGAGGAACGGTGACATAAGTGGCAAGTGAAGAAGAGAAAATACAAATAGCAAAAATAATTTTCAATGATACGGAAGTTGTGATTCTTGATCGATACAGCAGTGGCTTGCTGATTTTGAGGTAACGATCAAAACTGATCATCGTCAGGGTATAAATCGATGCCGTTATCACCGAAGTATCTATCCACACCATGAAACGGTGAAGATGAATGGAAATGGATGCTTGCGTTTCATTCGTCAGATACAGTTTATACAACCGTAGTGGTACCACAAACACACCAACCGAAAGATCAGCGAGAGCCAGGCAAGCGATAAAATATTTATTTGGTTGATGAAGATCTCTCTCTCGCCATGTCGCAACCAAAACCAGCGTATTGCCAAGAATTGTGAAGATGATAATGATGATGTAAATAACTTTTTCTGCCAGCGCACGCTTTTCCTCGAACTGTGCTATTTTCATCAAGTCATTGAACGTCCATTCGCATAAGGTCCTCGGGACACATTCAGCAACCCTTGTTCCATTGGCACTTTGGTTGTACATCCCAATGACATTGATTGATAGAGTCATCGCACTCGGCATTGCCATCAGTACTATGAAGTAATATATAACACGACATTTGTCAGACAGCTGGTAAACACAGCTGCATGCGCGAGATAAAGCAACAATTTTAAAAGGAAACCTAAATAACTTAAAAAGCGCTTCCCTAAAAGTTCGATGCTCTGCTATAAAACCAAAATTTGAAACGGCCTGGGCAAATAAATTGTCTGATAACCTCTTTGTGTATTCTGTGAATACATTGCTACGAACGCTAAACAGACTGATTTTAAGGTAGTTAGGCTTTCCCAAAGTCGTCAATTCAGGCATATTCAACCTTGATCTCAGCGTTTAGGACAAACTATAGCCGTAAACAGCAGGTTCATTTTGAATTGTCAGAACAAATCAGGGCCGTAACTAGAACGATAATTGGGGGGGGGGGTGTTTATTCATATATTCAGTTCTGCCCGACGAGTTTCTTTTATAAGTGCAATAGCTTACAATAGTAATATCATGGCTTCCTCGAAATCCTTTGTTTTACTAGTTAACCTGCACCGTAGAACGAGAACGAACGAGTAGCCTCATTAACTGAACGAGAGTACGGTTCACAATCGTTCAAATAGATGGTTTCTATTGGCTAAAACAAGTTTATTATCATATTTGTTTGTAAACTTTAAGCTATAGCATGCATATTTTGGTCAGGTAATTTTGTGTTGTGATATCGTCTATATTATACGGTTACAACAGGGGGCATGCAACAAGTGACGATGATTGATGAACTGTAATGGTAACATCCCAAACTGAGGAATAACTAAGTTGAATAATATTATATATAGAACCCTGAGTATTTTACCGAAGTCGTCGATTCGTAAACTCAATTGAATTTTATAGTTACAGGTCGTGTTAAGTAGCCTCAATGCAATTATTACAACAATTCTTAAGCATTTCTTCATGTGTTTTAAGACATTTGCATATACGTGTATTTATATCAAATTCCAGGTGGATTTGCAATTGTGCGAACTACGAATGAGCTGTTTGAAAAAGCATGGCAGACGACGTAGAGGTTTTAAACATAGTGCTATTAAATTTGCACAACGGCGTTCAGGCAATATATTCAATGGAAGGAAGAGCAGACAAGCGAGATCGAAGCGACTGACGACAATTATTTGACTACGTTAGTCGCCTGTATAATGCAACTATATGATTTGTCTGCTATAATAGCAACGTGCACTCAAGCTATTTTACCAACAACTCGTATTGAACAGATTCTTTCTCCAGATTTTTTCGGTTCAAACTTCCCGGGAAGGGATTTCTATAGTGAATTGAAAGGTGTGAACACTTGTTCTGAACTATGACGGGCAATAGCGTAGAATAATTTAGACGCATCGTTCAAAAAATGATCAAATTCGTCGTTATTTGTAGTAGCCTATAGAATGTACCTATAGAAATCAAATGCCTTTACTAAATAGTTCTTTGCTCTCTTACAATGAAATCAAGAAGCCTTCGTCTCACTGCACGCCGATTTCCAACATTTGCATATAGGTCCTGAACGTTATCAGGAAGTTCGGCAAATCTATCATGCCTTGCAATATCGTTTGCAATGACGTCCCAAATGGGACCATTCTCCATATACCGCTCATGAATTAATCGTCTTTCAACCTCACCTATGCGTCTTACTTGTCTTGCATTCATTTTTAAAAAAGTTAAAGAAATCCGGCCGCGAGCGATTTCAAAAAGATTGTCTTGCACAATGCAGCAAATAATTTAACTATCGTAATATAGCAGTTACTGCTGATTTGCATTTAAGTTTACTGTGTGGCTATGGAACTTATTATGATCCTGGGGTTTGAATATACGTTTTAACTGGCATGTTATGGAAATTACAATAATATCACAAAGTCGAGTTAAACTTAACGCTAAATAGTTTCTATCACATGAAATTCATTTCTGTTATGATCACCTATTAGGTTCAAATAAAAAATGTGATGAAATTACAATTCTTTAGGCGTTTTCATGCAGTTACAAGATGTGAGATTTTTACGTGCGCATGCATGTGTATTGCATATCCCCAAATATATATCTAATGGTAATACATGTCTGTGTGTATCTTCTTTACGGCCTTAAGTTAAGACTATCTTCCTTGATTGAATTAGCCGAAATGTAGTTTTTCTATCAGCACAACGACAGAAAAAAATATACAAGCATTACAATACGGTTGAAAACATGTTTAGTACAAGCAAGCGACTTTTTGTCGTTCATTCGTTCGTCGCTTTCGTCCATTCGTACATGTTTAAATATGCAAACCAATCAGCTTTTCGTAATTTCAATGAAAACATTAGCATACTTGCATATTCGTTCGTTCTCGTTTTACGGTGCAGGTTAACTACTAGTACCGATTAACAACTAAATGACCCGATGCATATACATTAGGGACGATTACTAACTAATCGTACCTAATGTTTATGCCAAATACCCGCCGACATATACTCGCTGTCTTCTTACGCAAATATCACTGCCAAACACATTACCATGCATTGCAGCTTATATCTACATGCATTTACATATGCAAAACAACTCTAAAACATCGAATAACTATAAAAGTATTCCTATTGTCTCGGTAGCCATAGTATTACAAACTAATAGCATGGCGTTTCGGTCGATTAGCGATTAAATGTCCCTCAAGCCTCGGCAGGTTTAGTAGTTTAGTTTTACTAAACCTGCCTCGGCTTTCGGGGACATTTAATCGCTAATCGACCTCAAAGCCATGCTATTACTTATAAAAATCCGTCGGGCAAAACTGAATATATGAATAAACACCCCCCCTCTAGTTACGGCCCTGGAACAAAGTCTACAAATTTGGTGCATGATTTTCAAACATAAAGCGACTTGCGAGAAATTATGAACGAGAAAGTGCCATGCAAAAGTTTATCTTCATATGCGACTTGAAATTATATTCGTTTAACTATATGTTTAGATCATAGTCTTACTTTCTCGCTGTTAAATGATTCCCCGTGTGGTTTGTGATGTTTGTCGATCTTCTCTTCTGTGTATTTTTGTTTTACAAGCGCGCCTTCAAAAAGAAATTTTGTTCTTTCGGAGTTATTGATCTGTTATTAATCATGCTAGTATGTAAATTGTAAATTGCATGACTAAATAGAACTCAAGTATATATTCGACAAGTTTAATATATTACTTGCAGGCGCCTGAAGTGCATCGTAGAGTTCAAAATACTGCTGTATACAACCTATTTAACAATCTCAATCTCTTTGTAGTTCAGTAGTAGTAACATACAAACTAAAAGTTATCACATCAATTAATATATTATATATTCCTAAACGTATTTACCAACTATACCACCTTTCTTTCGTAATATGAAAAACTTTTTCTAAACCCAGTTTTTATATATTTTTAATTTAAACTTTAACTTTTTGACTTGTTTTAATTTTTACCATTAATTTTTACAAAACGTTCCGACTTCGGAAATCGGTTCGGTTCACTTTTGGCAATCAAGTTAATATGGGCGGAGCTTTTCAACACGAATTGACGCAAAAGAAAATCCAAAATCCATCAATCTAACCGAATAAACGTTTCAGAAAAGTCGAAAGTCGCGTTACAACGAATGTAATATAAAATGAGTTCACGAGTATTAGTTTTTGGGTGCTGTAGATAATTAAAGCTTTTAATTAAGCGAAATACGAAATATTTCGTCGTGGTTGCAATTGAAAAGGAGTAAGCGAAATTTTTCGGATTTTATTGGAAAAAAAGGCCCGTGAAATTATAAGCGCTTATTTTAATAACAGATGCACGTTAATAGGGTGGCTTAAGCCTCGATAATAATAATTCGTTTATAAATTTAGCTCAGAAAATATTTTGATTTTGGGTTAGGTACATAAAAAGATCTGAAATAGCTGCATTGGTATGCCAAAAAAAACGTTAAACGTCAGTCTTGCCGGTAAACATCATTATTTAGAAGAGTTGTTTGAAAGCTTTTCTGTATGTTTGATCCAGCCAAGCATAAATTATTGGATTGCAGAGACTGTTAGACTTGTGGAGTATGCCTACTGTCGTTTCAATTATTCTCAAACGAAGCCAGTATTTTAATGACCTGTTATCGCTTTGGTTAAAATTTGGGTAATAAAAGTACAAAAAATTCCAAATAAAATGTAAACCGCAGCAAAATATGAACACTCCTACGACAAGCAACAGCATTTTAATTACTTTTAAATCTTGACGAAGAGCAGTTCGTTGATTGTAAACATTAGTAGATTGGCCAAGTCCACCAGTTTGTAGCATTTTGTGCCGTTGACGAGCAATACAAAAAATACGAGCGTACGTAACCAGTATCATTACGGTTG